CTGAAGTGTCTCCAGATTCTAAGTTTAGTGAGCGTACTATCTTATCTGAAGTGGCTCCTAATTCTAATTCTAGTGAGCGTACTATCTTATCTGAGAGTACTATCTTATCTGAAGTGGCTCCTAATTCTAAGTTTAGTGAGCGTACTATCTTATCTGAAGTGGCTCCTAATTCTAAGTTTAGCACTATCTTATATGAAGTAGCTCCTAATTCAAAGTTTAGTGAGCGTACTATCTTATCTGAAGTGGCTCCTAATTCTAAGTTTAGTATTATCTTATCTGCAGTGGCTCCTAATTCTATTGCTCGCATTCTAAACTATAAAAGATCGATTTTGAGGGATAAGGAAGTGTTTATAGGTTCTGAAACCTAGCTAAATCGATTTTTCGTGCAATTTTAGGTTAGAAACGGTCCTCAAAATAAGTTAATAAGAAGGTCGATTTCTCGGTTATTTTAGAGCTTTCGTTCAGAAAATAATTCGGGGCCCTCAAAGGGGGGTAACAAGAAGTGTTACAATATTTCTATAATACAAAATATGTATCACCTCCTCAGCCTGCCGAACATGTGCTCGACCTAAAATGTAAACAAACAATGATCACCTCCTCAGCCTGCCGAACATGTGCTCACTATTAATGTAAACAAACAATGATCACCTCCCCGCCAGTATCCACATCTATAGGGAATAGTCAATAGGGATTCATCGCATATTACATAAGCCAAGCTTAATTAAGGGAGGGAGATTGGGAAAATTACTGTAAAATGACTTTTCAAGGGGGACTAAAATGTCCAAAATCTAGCTCACGCAGTACGTTATCTGTAAACGATCCCAATATATAACATGTATATTGTATAAGGGGTCATTCACATATTACGTAAATAACGTAATCAGCCGAGGTGGGTTTCCAAATGATTACGCTAGTGTAATTTTGACACAATAGCTATGTGTAAAACTGATTACGGAGGGGGGAGTAAAAATTGCCAAAAAATTGATTACGTAATATGTGAACGACCCCTAATGCCTAACTAAACGTAGGTTAAGAGCCAGTCTTCAGACGAATGAGCAAGTCTACCGTCTACGGTTATTAGTAATTAGAGAAACGTTTCTGCTCCCCAAGTGTTATGAGGTTCCAGAGGAAAAGAATTTTAGCAGTTTATATAGGAAGAATAAGTGTTTAATCTTTGAAAACAATCTCACGAATGACGACGCTAGTTATATTATGAACTTTTTTCGACGGGATCAGGTTTAAAATCTTGCTAATCGATCTTCAATCTTGCGTTGCGCGCGCCACGTCACAGCGCGCTTTTGTCAAGAAGTTTTGCAAAAGGATTATAGTTATCAGCGATGCGGCAATGAAATTGTGACATTATCCGTATACATTTTAAAATCGTAAATAGACCAACATAGGTGGCTAAGTTTGAGGTTTGGTGATATTGTCACTACTAACTGTTTTCTGTAAGATAACGAATGTCAGTATTGACAATAAAATTTCTCTTATGAGAAATGATCTACATTCTTCAACCCGTGCCACAATAGTTTATTTCCATGTAGCACAGTTACAATTTTTCGTGTCAACTAATAATTGGCCACACAAGTAGGAAGTAAAATAAGGACCCGAGCACAGACTAAAATAGATCATAATAAGAGCACAGCTCAAAATAGAACAAAATCTGATTGGCAGTCACGCTGCACGTGACTGCCCGCACGTGACTGGCGCGCGTCCAATGGACGTTATGAAAGAGATTTGTTTTGGTTATAGCAGCAGAGATCACGTTTAGAGTGCGTCTGTCTGATTAGCCCACGTCACTGCACACGTGACTGTGCAGAGCCAATAGGGTGCTATGTAATTTGTGTAAGGTGTGTACGCTAGGTGCGTGTAAGGGACATCTAATTTATTAATATTATTAAACACAGCTGGCCGGCAGAGAATCGGAAATATAAGGACTTTTTATGGATGAAAATCGAAGCGAAAACCTTGTAACCCTATGTTTTCGAGTACGCTGAACAAGATTAAACTGGTTATAATTATCATACTCAAGGGCAAATTGATTTAAAATGTACTTGAATGTCATAGATGCTATTATACCGGCTTATCGAGTGGCACCAGTCTCTCTCGCCACTAGTTCTCAGCTTATTATCGGGCTCGTAAAGGGAAGATCTCTAGATCTCTAGCTCAGAAGACGAAAACCATTTTCTCAAACATTTGCTAACATTAACGAATACGTATATTAACCAGTATCAAGGATTGTATCGGGACTTCTATAAGAGTATAAGCGGTATTTCTAGTCCGCAGTTTTATTCATAGCGGTTTTATGATGAACTAATTATTATCATATGACTGTGTTAGGGCTACTTACAGATTGGTTGACACTCCTGTTAGCGCACATCACTGCAAACGTGACTGTGCAGAGCCTGAAGTGCGACAGAGAATTTTCAAGGCCGACACTGTCGCACTACAGTACGCTATACCTGGACTGTATAATATTCAATTTAAAATCATTGACCCGAAGCCGAAGGAATTATGATCAGTGGATCACTTCGAAATACATAACGTGAACCGACGAATCGGGTCCACAAGATCACTTCGAAATAAGTAAAGTGAAAAGACCCGACGAATCAGGTCCACAAGAAGGGCACTCATGCACTCTAGTGCGAAAGAGGATCTGACCTGAACATGGAAATAAGACAGGATATTGTGTCGCACTAGAGTACGCTACCTGGAATTGGATCGTAGTGCGACACGTACTGTAGTGCGAAAGAGGGTGTTTTTGTCGGACTTCGCACTAGAGCTGTACTTGTCGCACTAGAGTACGTGTCGCACTACAGTACGATTACCCAATGCAGTGCCGTGTACAGTAGATGAATCCATAAATTTGGAACATAGGGACATCAAAGTATTTATTAACTGTATTTGAGTGCTGGGAATCCTCAATTCGGTTTTCTAAGATGGATATTATAGCTAAAAACTAGGCCTGCTCGACACAAATTCAGTAACCGTATTTTATAGACTCAAATACGGTTTGAGACTCAAATTTTGAGTGTACAGCTAGTAAATTTGTGTCAATATATCCAGTAGCGGACTGTTTGTAGTACAGCGGGCCAGCGCCGGTTATAGATGATATTTGTTATCCCGCTAATACAGCACGTGCTGATATAGCCCGCATAATATTTGTCCAGAAGCGATATATCCCACAAACCGAATAGGAGTTGCACTTTATTTTTGGTGCCCGAAAATCTGAACAGTGTTATTGATCCACACTTACACACTAGTTAATAGTTCCCACGGATATATGTGGATATAAAGAATGTATCTGAGCTCACCTTATCTATCGGTCCCTTATATATCTCTATATCAGTTATCACGCAGGTTGCCATGATTGGCTCATAATTAACACGTGACACACTGTTACTACGGTTACCAAATTCGTGGCGACGTAAATTCGCTGATCTCGATTAGTATTTTGTGTTTACCATTTCAGTTGTGTTAAATATTTTCAGTTCACTATTTCAGTTGATAAACCTTAAAATTTTAGGCCGAAATTTTACGTGTTATTCTATTCAATGTCCATGATCAGACTGTGATCTCGACTCTCGAGCTATTTGGGTTACTCCTTTTGATTGTCCAGTAACTCAGTAGCTGCTACAGAAACTCTGGCAACTGGTTACCCGGGTAACCCTGGTAACTGATAATGAAAACTAACGTATCGATTACTTGTTAACAGTTGCAAATCAGATATCGAAAATTATCTTACAAAAGCTATCTAATTAAGAAGTAAAGCTGTTTGCTGAATGCAGACCTGAGTTTTTCAGAATGCCAGTTTTTGCCTCTCGATTTTCTTCCTGTGTCGATACTCAGGCGAATGTTTTTCTATTGTTCTTTATAAGCAGACAGCCCCCTTTATAGCTCCGACAAAGAGGGCCTCGGTCTTCTTTACTTCTTATAGAAGTCCCGATACAATCCTTGATACTGGTTAATATACGTATTCGTTAATGTTAGCAAATGTTTGAGAAAATGGTTTTCGTCTTCTGAGCTAGAGATCTAGAGATCTTCCCTTTACGAGCCCGATAATAAGCTGAGAACTAGTGGCGAGAGAGACTGGTGCCACTCGATAAGCCGGTATAATAGCATCTATGACATTCAAGTACATTTTAAATCAATTTGCCCTTGAGTATGATAATTATAACCAGTTTAATCTTGTTCAGCGTACTCGAAAACATAGGGTTACAAGGTTTTCGCTTCGATTTTCATCCATAAAAAGTCCTTATATTTCCGATTCTCTGCCGGCCAGCTGTGTTTAATAATAAATTAGATGTCCCTTACACGCACCTAGCGTACACACCTTACACAAATTACATAGCACCCTATTGGCTCTGCACAGTCACGTGTGCAGTGACGTGGGCTAATCAGACAGACGCACTCTAAACGTGATCTCTGCTGCTATAACCAAAACAAATCTCCTTCATAACGTCCATTGGACGCGCGCCAGTCACGTGCGGGCAGTCACGTGCAGCGTGACTGCCAATCAGATTTTGTTCTATTTTGAGCTGTGCTCTTATTATGATCTATTTTAGTCTGTGCTCGGGTCCTTATTTTACTTCCTACTTGTGTGGCCAATTATAGAACACTTGACTGCCATTATTTCAGCCCACATCGTTACACGTCCATGAAAGAGTGTGAAAATTAAAGAAAGTTCATTAAGACACTCAAATAAATTTATATTATAATGAAACGATTATTAACATTGTTTAGACTACTACTTGGTAAACTTGGTAAACCAGCAAAATTATGAGCGGATACCGATTAGAATTACATTGTCCGAAAAAAGCATTTACTTTCTTAAATAAAAGATATACAATTAAATTCAAAATTACTAAAGCTAAACATTTATTTAACTGCACATTATCAAATGAAAACAAGGAGCTGCTTCTGGTCCTATTCCATCATAAGTTTTTTAACCAAAAAATGGTGTACATATCCATGCCAAAAATATCAAATCGAACAATACATTGTATTATATACACAATGTATTTTATACAGTTTTTTTTATTTGAGGAAATCATCGCCAGTTTATCAGAATAAAAATTATTTGACCGACTGAAACTAAAAGTTGGTGAAGGATTTGAGTAAGTCAAATAGAGAATACAGATAAGGAGAGACTGAGGGTAGGTAAGGGTAGACTCCGTTGTAGCCCAGCGACATAACCTTGTAGGTACCGTACAGCAGCAACGACAGAACTGAGTACTGAAATTATATTCTTTGTTAATTATGTTTCCAAAATTATGATAGATATTCAATCGGTACTGGTACTTGATGTATGTATACCAGTGCATAATTAGCTTCAGTTGCATTTACATTCTACCCTATGGGGACTTGTCAAATTGAGAAAGATGACATCTCTCAATAAGATAGAGAGATGGTCTAAATATGTAAAATTAAGTTAGAAAATTAGTAACATGAAACCCATTTTGCAGCTGTGAAAAAGGGTGCGGTATCATCAGATAGCATCCAGTGAAAATATTTGTAAAGCAGGCAATTTTCACGGGAGTGAAATATGCAACATATTTGACGTTGAAAATTTTTCTTATCTGTTAACATAAGCATGCCTGGGAAGTTGGTCGTTTAGCTCCGGACAGTCTATGCAACGTCTATGCAACGTCCGTGCAACAACAAAAGAACCGTCTATGCAACGTCTATGCAACGTCCCTGCACAATGAACACTCTATGCACACTCCCTGCACGGTCAGTCTATGCAACGTCTATGCAACGTCTATGCAACGTCTATGCAACGTCCCTGCACAGTACCATATGAACACCGGCTACTAGCCGGCTACTAGCCGGCTAGTAGCCACTTTTGTAATAACAGCTCCTCAACTTCACATTACCAACCGGCTACTAACCGGCACTTGAAAAGTGGTCACTAGCCGGCTACTAACCGGCTACTAGCCGGCTAGTGACCACAAAGTGGCTACTAACCGGCTACTAAGCGGTCACTAGCCGGCTATTAGCCGAGCTCTTAAGCGGACCTACTAGTAGCCGGTTCCAAACTAGTAGGTCCGCTTAAGAGCCGGCTAGTGACCGGTTAGTAGCCGGTTAGTAGCCACTTGGTGGTTACTAGCCGGTTAGTAGCCGGTTAGTAGCCGGCTAGTGACCGCTTTCTAAGTGCCGGCTAGTAGCCGGTTTGGAACCGGCTACTAGTAGGTCTGCTTTAGAGCTCGGCTAATAGCCGGCTAGTGACCGCTTAGTAGCCGGTTAGTAGCCACTTTGTGGTCACTAGCCGGCTAGTAGCCGGTTAGTAGCCGGCTAGTGACCACTTTTCAAGTGCCGGTTAGTAGCCGGTTGGTAATGTGAAGTTGAGGAGCTGTTATTACAAAAGTGGCTACTAGCCGGCTAGTAGCCGGCTAGTAGCCGGTGTTCATATGGTACTGTGCAGGGACGTTGCATAGACGTTGCATAGACGTTGCATAGACGTTGCATAGACTGACCGTGCAGGGAGTGTGCATAGAGTGTTCATTGTACAGGGACGTTGCATAGACGTTGCATAGACGGTTCTTTTGTTGTTGCATGGACGTTGCATAGACGTTGCATAGACTGTCCGGAGCTAAACGACCAAGTTGCCGCATGCCTTGACTTGATAATTTTTTAATTAATTTGTTAATTCGTGTAGCGAATAGTAGATATAATAATAATAATAAATTGGAATTTAATAACACCGCTATTAATATAAAACTTATACTCAGCAGTGTTTAAACTAGTCATCCCAGAAAATAACATGAATACTAAGTGAAGAAGAGATATTATTATACATGGTTCAAATAGTATGTGGGAACATGATCACTCAGTTCTGAGACATTTGAATTTCAGAAGTTGCTTGCAGGTCAATCACTTTATCATAATCATATCCTTAGTTTAATTAGGGATGTAAAACATACACAGGAAAATAGTAGAAAATGTGACAAACCTTGATTGTTTTGGCGAGTACTCTGGATGTGACGGAAGACTCTGGGATGATACACAGTGCTTCACAATCTACAGTAGAGCCCCAGTACTTCTTTATCCCTGTAAAAAGAGGTAACAATTAATTTCAGAAGATCGTCTTAAGTGATTTATAAATTAGTACAATATCTCCTCATAGCTGAATATGAGGAAAGCTTATCTGCAGTTCATTAATAGTGACGTAATAGTGACGTAATAGTGACGTAATAGTGACGTAATAGTGACGTCACTACTACTTATTTACAGTTCAAATATAGCTCGTTTGACTGCCAGCCTTAACGGGTGACCGACAACTGAACCCAATTGAACCTAGTTAACAGGCACCCAATCAGCTTAATTGGGTGACCGATCAGCTTAAATCCCAAAACGACAACTGAACCCAGGTCATATCACAACTGCACCGAAATCGGAAATACGACAACTGAACCCAACGATCGGATTTTCAGGTTCTCCTTCTTCGCAGGAGACTGTGGTCATTATCACTATAGGATAGATCATGACCACTGTAATTTAGAGTATTGGAGCCCTGTGATTTCCCCGGTAAAATATTAATAAGTGGAGAGAAACATTAAACTTCGTTTTCTCCGCATTTGTCTGTGCACAGTCTGTGCATTCACCAAATGAATGCACAGAGGAATTTGATCGGTCATGTTATAAAGAGTTACAAAGAGTTGAACGTGTAATGTAAATATAGTGTGGATACATGCGAATATATATTCTAAATAACTGATAAATGATATTCCACACAAAGCATGAAATTGTGCTGTATATGAGTGGTGATTTCGCTCTGAAAATCAGGGTCAGTAGCTCAATTGGTAGAGCAAGGCACGCGAAATGTCGAGGTTCTGGGATCATTCCCCAGTTGTCCCTAGTTTTTCAGAATTAATCATCACCTATAGACAGCATGAGAGTAGGCCCTGCCATCTCGAAGTGATAATAATAATTAAATGTTTCGCAGATTGGCAATTGATCGGTGTAGTTGGTGTTGTACACACTGCACTGATAATGATATTACGTTGAACGTGTAATGTAAATATAGTGTGGATACATGCGAATATATATTCTAAATAACAGTTACAAAGAGTCATGTGATCTTGTTCCATAGATTGCACCTTGGAAAATATCCTACCATGGAAATATCGGTGCCAGCTAATGTATCAATTTTTAAAGCAACCCCCTTTAAATTCGAATAACAGCACCAACAAGGACCATCGGCAACATAAAAGGTATAGAAGCACATTGGTGATAGATATCAGTTTTCAGATACAGTTTCAAAACAGAGGAGACACCTCACATTCCTCATTCAAATTGAGGAGCACCTTTCAAATCACGTATCTCAGCCCTCAGGATCACGTTTGTTATTTGAAAAATATTGAAAGAATTTTTGTAAATTGTGGATAAATTTTGCAAGCAAAATCCCCTCAGTTTGGAAACAAATACCCTATAGGGGGTTGAAGTGTAAACCGTAGAAGTAACTATACTGACCAGCTATATGTCCAATTCCGACGACCGCCACAATTCTCGTCTTTTCTTCGACAGCGACACAATCTTCTGAGTCATCAGACTCATTCTGAGAGCACACTTTAAGTTTAGTATACAATATTACACTACAAGTATACACTACAGTATAGTATACAATATTACACTACAAAATACAAACACGCCCCATTAACTTATGTGATCGGAATATAAAAGCTCCAAGTTTTCTCTGAGGGTGCGATGAACTTGCAGTAAAGTGGACAAAACTATAATTAAGTAATAACGCAACTACACGTGCTAAATATAATCTACGTTGCTTGACGTGTGTTTGCACACTGCCTCCCCAGAAGCGTCAAATATCCTCCTCGACAGGAACTGGTCTCTCTCATCCACGAATATTCTGGACAGGTTGGGATACTCTCCCGTGATCTCCTCTATCAGCTTCTGTGAGTGAGATAAACTAGTTACAATTAATTACAACTAGTTACAACTAATTACAAATAATTACAACTAATTACAACTAATTACAACTAATTACAACTAATTACAACTAATTACAACTAATTACAACTAATTACAACTAATTACAACTAATTAAAACTAAATAAAACTAATTAAAACTAATTACAAATAAACCATATTTCATTTGCCCTTCTCAGCCACGTAATATGCATATTGCATAATACGATCTTAATTTGTTTGTAACAAAGCTTTCAAAATCCATCATGTGATTATTGTTGTCCGCCCCAAGACATTTATTCTCAAATTTAACTTTAGTATCCTATGTAACCATAGTAACCAATTTAACCATCGTAACCATAGTAACCTGAAGAACGTCACCCTTGAAACTCTCCACATCCTCCTTGGTTATCTTCTCGTTGTTAAAGATAAGTTTTCACAGCAAGTCCAAGCTGTTTCCACACGGTCAGCGAGTAGATGGCTCGCTGCAGTGTGGTCTGTATCGATCTGTCACTCAGTCGGAATGTGCAGCCTAGTTCTCTTCCTTTTCTATACGCTGCCCTGAAACGTGAGAAATGTATTTTCTCTACACTAACCTGGGTCATTTGTTCTCTGTATGCTGGTTTGAATTATCGTAATAGTTTGTAAGTAATAAATGATAACTTCTTCCACTAGTTCTCCTAAATAGCCATCTCGTAGAATTATTTCTTTTAATAAGTAGTTCTTAAATCGGAGAGTCGTAATTTTTACAACTCCTTTCATCTTTTAAAGCATCCATTTATTTATTTTAAATATCTTTGCTTTTTTAATAAAGAACAGTTTGATTGATATTTATTGAATAATAGAATCCCTAGAATAAGATACAATTTTGGCTAAATTGTTTAAATATTTGTGCGTTATAACTATCTACATCGGCAGATTTATTAGTTTTAGATTCTGAGTTCTCGGAAGGGAATCGGTTTCGGTCTCCCTTTAAATCAAAAACATGGGTTGCTCCTTCAGCTGTAAATTTAAAGTCTGTTTTACAGTTTCATTAAAGTTGGTTTTATGGAAAGTAGTGTTTTAAATATTTCCAATGTATAAAAAGGCTAAACAATTTAAAACACAACCTCTTACGACTTGTTTCTCACGTCAGACCGAATTGAGGATTCTCTCAACTTATTTGCGAAGCTAACAACTCAATAAAATTAATGTGAGCAACAATTTACTTGAATTGTATCGGCTAGGGCTATCGCAATAACTGAACGCAATTTAGGAGAGGGGGCCAAATTTGTACGGGCGTTGTGGTAATAGAGTTCAGGGTTGAGGGTTTGCCTCTCAAACAATTTTATACAGATTCTACCTGAACTCTCCGCCAGGGGCCATCCGCCATGCCGATATGTTATACAGCTATTCTACCTGAACTCTCCGCCAGGGGCCATGCCGATATGTTATACAGCTATTCTACCTGAACTCTCCGCCAGGGGCCATGCCAATATGTTATACAGCTATTCTACCTGAACTCTCCGCCAGGGGCCATGCTGATATGTTATACAGCTATTCTACCTGAACTCTCCGCCAGGGGCCATGCCGATATGTTATACAGCTATTCTACCTGAACTCTCCGCCAGGGGCCATGCCGATATGTTATACAGCTATTCTACCTGAACTCTCCGCCAGGGGCCATACCGATATGTTATACAGCTATTCTACCTGAACTCTCCGCCAGGGGCCATGCCGATATGTTATACAGCTATTCTACCTGAACTCTCCGCCAGGGGCCATGCCAATATGTTATACAGCTATTCTACCTGAACTCTCCGCCAGGGGCCATGCCGATATGTTATACAGCTATTCTACCTGAACTCTCCGCCAGGGGCCATGCCGATATGTTATACAGCTATTCTACCTGAACTCTCCGCCAGGGGCCATGCCGATATGTTATACAGCTATTCTACCTGAACTCTCCGCCAGGGGCCATACCGATATGTTATACAGCTATTCTACCTGAACTCTCCGCCAGGGGCCATGCCGATATGTTATACAGCTATTCTACCTGAACTCTCCGCCAGGGGCCATGCCGATATGTTATACAGCTATTCTACCTGAACTCTCCGCCAGGGGCCATGCCGATATGTTATACAGCTATTCTACCTGAACTCTCCGCCAGGGGCCATGCCGATATGTTATACAGCTATTCTACCTGAACTCTCCGCCAGGGGCCATGCCGATATGTTATACAGCTATTCTACCTGAACTCTCCGCCAGGGGCCATGCCGATATGTTATACAGCTATTCTACCTGAACTCTCCGCCAGGGGCCATGCCGATATGTTATACAGCTATTCTACCTGAACTCTCCGCCAGGGGCCATGCCGATATGTTATACAGCTATTCTACCTGAACTCTCCGCCAGGGGCCATGCCGATATGTTATACAGCTATTCTACCTGAACTCTCCGCCAGGGGCCATGCCGATATGTTATACAGCTATTCTACCTGAACTCTCCGCCAGGGGCCATGCCGATATGTTATACAGCTATTCTACCTGAACTCTCCGCCAGGGGCCATGCCGATATGTTATACAGCTATTCTACCTGAACTCTCCGCCAGGGGCCATGCCGATATGTTATACAGATTCTACCTGAACTCTCCGCCAGGGGCCATGCCGATATGTTATACAGCTATTCTACCTGAACTCTCCGCCAGGGGCCATGCCAATATGTTATACAGCTATTCTACCTGAACTCTCCGCCAGGGGCCATGCCGATATGTTATACAGCTATTCTACCTGAACTCTCCGCCAGGGGCCATGCCAATATGTTATACAGCTATTCTACCTGAACTCTCCGCCAGGGGCCATGCCGATATGTTATACAGCTATTCTACCTGAACTCTCCGCCAGGGGCCATGCCGATATGTTATACAGCTATTCTACCTGAACTCTCCGCCAGGGGCCATGCTGATATGTTATACAGCTATTCTACCTGAACTCTCCGCCAGGGGCCATGCCGATATGTTATACAGCTATTCTACCTGAACTCTCCGCCAGGGGCCATGCCGATATGTTATACAGCTATTCTACCTGAACTCTCCGCCAGGGGCCATGCCGATATGTTATACAGCTATTCTACCTGAACTCTCCGCCAGGGGCCATGCCGATATGTTATACAGCTATTCTACCTGAACTCTCCGCCAGGGGCCATGCCAATATGTTATACAGCTATTCTACCTGAACTCTCCGCCAGGGGCCATGCCGATATGTTATACAGCTATTCTACCTGAACTCTCCGCCAGGGGCCATGCCGATATGTTATACAGCTATTCTACCTGAACTCTCCGCCAGGGGCCATGCCGGTATGTTATACAGCTATTCTACCTGAACTCTCCGCCAGGGGCCATGCCGATATGTTATACAGCTATTCTACCTGAACTCTCCGCCAGGGGCCATGCCGATATGTTATACAGCTATTCTACCTGAACTCTCCGCCAGGGGCCATACCGATATGTTATACAGCTATTCTACCTGAACTCTCCGCCAGGGGCCATGCCGATATGTTATACAGCTATTCTACCTGAACTCTCCGCAGGGGCCATGCCGATATGTTATACAGCTATTCTACCTGAACTCTCCGCCAGGGGCCATGCCGATATGTTATACAGCTATTCTACCTGAACTCTCCGCCAGGGGCCGTGCCGATATGTTATACAGCTATTCTACCTGAACTCTCCGCCAGGGGCCATGCCAATATGTTATACAGCTATTCTACCTGAACTCTCCGCCAGGGGCCATGCCGATATGTTATACAGCTATTCTACCTGAACTCTCCGCCAGGGGCCATGCCGATATGTTATACAGCTATTCTACCTGAACTCTCCGCCAGGGGCCATGCCAATATGTTATACAGCTATTCTACCTGAACTCTCCGCCAGGGGCCATGCCGATATGTTATACAGCTATTCTACCTGAACTCTCCGCCAGGGGCCATGCCGATATGTTATACAGCTATTCTACCTGAACTCTCCGCCAGGGGCCATGCCGATATGTTATACAGCTATTCTACCTGAACTCTCCGCCAGGGGCCATGCCGATATGTTATACAGCTATTCTACCTGAACTCTCCGCCAGGGCCATGCCGATATGTTATACAGCTATTCTACCTGAACTCTCCGCCAGGGGCCATGCCGATATGTTATACAGCTATTCTACCTGAACTCTCCGCCAGGGGCCATGCCGATATGTTATACAGCTATTCTACCTGAACTCTCCGCCAGGGGCCATGCCGATATGTTATACAGCTATTCTACCTGAACTCTCCGCCAGGGGCCATGCCGATATGTTATACAGCTATTCTACCTGAACTCTCCGCCAGGGGCCATGCCGATATGTTATACAGCTATTCTACCTGAACTCTCCGCCAGGGGCCATGCCGATATGTTATACAGCTATTCTACCTGAACTCTCCGCCAGGGGCCATGCCGATATGTTATACAGCTATTCTACCTGAACTCTCCGCCAGGGGCCATGCCGATATGTTATACAGCTATTCTACCTGAACTCTCCGCCAGGGGCCATGCCGATATGTTATACAGCTATTCTACCTGAACTCTCCGCCAGGGGCCATGCCGATATGTTATACAGCTATTCTACCTGAACTCTCCGCCAGGGGCCATGCCGATATGTTATACAGCTATTCTACCTGAACTCTCCGCCAGGGGCCATGCCGATATGTTATACAGCTATTCTACCTGAACTCTCCGCCAGGGGCCATGCCGATATGTTATACAGCTATTCTACCTGAACTCTCCGCCAGGGGCCATGCCGATATGTTATACAGCTATTCTACCTGAACTCTCCGCCAGGGGCCATGCCGATATGTTATACAGCTATTCTACCTGAACTCTCCGCCAGGGGCCATGCCGATATGTTATACAGCTATTCTACCTGAACTCTCCGCCAGGGGCCATGCCGATATGTTATACAGCTATTCTACCTGAACTCTCCGCCAGGGGCCATGCCGATATGTTATACAGCTATTCTACCTGAACTCTCCGCCAGGGGCCATGCCGATATGTTATACAGCTATTCTACCTGAACTCTCCGCCAGGGGCCATGCCGATATGTTATACAGCTATTCTACCTGAACTCTCCGCCAGGGGCCATACCGATATGTTATACAGCTATTCTACCTGAACTCTCCGCCAGGGGCCATGCCGATATGTTATACAGCTATTCTACCTGAACTCTCCGCCAGGGGCCATGCCGATATGTTATACAGCTATTCTACCTGAACTCTCCGCCAGGGGCCATGCCAATATGTTATACAGCTATTCTACCTGAACTCTCCGCCAGGGGCCATGCCGATATGTTATACAGCTATTCTACCTGAACTCTCCGCCAGGGGCCATGCCGATATGTTATACAGCTATTCTACCTGAACTCTCCGCCAGGGGCCATGCCGATATGTTATACAGCTATTCTACCTGAACTCTCCGCCAGGGGCCATACCGATATGTTATACAGCTATTCTACCTGAACTCTCCGCCAGGGGCCATGCCGATATGTTATACAGCTATTCTACCTGAACTCTCCGCCAGGGGCCATGCCAATATGTTATACAGCTATTCTACCTGAACTCTCCGCCAGGGGCCATGCTGATATGTTATACAGCTATTCTACCTGAACTCTCCGCCAGGGGCCATGCCGATATGTTATACAGCTATTCTACCTGAACTCTCCGCCAGGGGCCATGCCGATATGTTATACAGCTATTCTACCTGAACTCTCCGCCAGGGGCCATACCGATATGTTATACAGCTATTCTACCTGAACTCTCCGCCAGGGGCCATGCCGATATGTTATACAGCTATTCTACCTGAACTCTCCGCCAGGGGCCATGCCAATATGTTATACAGCTATTCTACCTGAACTCTCCGCCAGGGGCCATGCCGATATGTTATACAGCTATTCTACCTGAACTCTCCGCCAGGGGCCATGCCGATATGTTATACAGCTATTCTACCTGAACTCTCCGCCAGGGGCCATACCGATATGTTATACAGCTATTCTACCTGAACTCTCCGCCAGGGGCCATGCCGATATGTTATACAGCTATTCTACCTGAACTCTCCGCCAGGGGCCATGCCAATATGTTATACAGCTATTCTACCTGAACTCTCCGCCAGGGGCCATGCTGATATGTTATACAGCTATTCTACCTGAACTCTCCGCCAGGGGCCATGCCGATATGTTATACAGCTATTCTACCTGAACTCTCCGCCAGGGGCCATGCCGATATGTTATACAGCTATTCTACCTGAACTCTCCGCCAGGGGCCATACCGATATGTTATACAGCTATTCTACCTGAACTCTCCGCCAGGGGCCATGCCGATATGTTATACAGCTATTCTACCTGAACTCTCCGCCAGGGGCCATGCCAATATGTTATACAGCTATTCTACCTGAACTCTCCGCCAGGGGCCATGCTGATATGTTATACAGCTATTCTACCTGAACTCTCCGCCAGGGGCCATGCCGATATGTTATACAGCTATTCTACCTGAACTCTCCGCCAGGGGCCATGCCGATATGTTATACAGCTATTCTACCTGAACTCTCCGCCAGGGGCCATGCCGATATGTTATACAGCTATTCTACCTGAACTCTCCGCCAGGGGCCATGCCGATATGTTATACAGCTATTCTACCTGAACTCTCCGCCAGGGGCCATGCCAATATGTTATACAGCTATTCTACCTGAACTCTCCGCCAGGAGCCATGCCGATATGTTATACAGCTATTCTACCTGAACTCTCCGCCAGGGGCCATGCCGATATGTTATACAGCTATTCTACCTGAACTCTCCGCCAGGGGCCATGCCGATATGTTATACAGCTATTCTACCTGAACTCTCCGCCAGGGGCCATGCCGAGCTGTTTAGTTAGCCCAGCACTGAGATGAAGGAAGGCCAGCTGGAATAGTCCATAAAACACCCCCGATCTTGAGATGAGTTCCTTGACCTTGTTCAGCCCGATATTCTGCACTTCTTCCAGGATCTCCTCCTCCGAGCACTTGATCACGTGCAACTGAAATTATATCAAGATGAATTATATCATTAATGGTGAATTTCCTTGCTGTACGGCAGTGTTAAGCAAGGAATTGAAACCGAGGGGTTCCGTTCAGGCCCTTCACACTTTGTTTCTGTCTGGTTCTAATATACCGTTACAATAATGACTTTAATATAACGATGAGCCCAGTCGCCAAGTACGAACACCAGAAATAACCAAAGTTAACTTTTCTCTAATAAATCAAGATAATATTAGAACCGTATCTACATGCCAATGGTAATCCCTTGTTCGGGATAATGAAGAAATCATTCTATTGAAATACGCTTTCAATTCCATTACATACGAGTAGTAGCTTAAAAAAGCTTCACTCAGAGCTGATTATTAAATGACACTTTAAAAGTTGACACGTGACACGTGACACGTACCCTGTTTTTACACAGCTCCAAACAGACGATGTGAGGCTGAACTTTCTCAATAGTGCTAACAACATCTTGATTACTTTCTTCAGAGAAATGTGCTGTTCCGATTATGTAAACCTGCCGTGAAGAACGTTGAATTAGGGTAGACGTTTATATTTACAAAATTAGAGCTATCAAATGATGTACTAAATATTCTAGTTAGTGTAATTCGACTTAATTTATAACAGAGCAGATGTGAATTAATAACATTTACGCACTCAATGAAAACCGAATAACAAATTCTATTCCTGAACAATAAGTATAATTCAACAATAATTGGTGGAAGGGAGTGTTTTGTTTCTGATTTTGGTCAAAGAGAACGCTGTAATGCTGAATAGCACTATCCTTATCAGTCCTCAGCTTTAAAACTGAGTCTCAACACTCAAATTGAGATATATTCTCACTTCTCATATACCTCATCAAATGGAGAGTGTATATAATAATCCCAGCCTGTACCTGGCAAAATTCCCGCTCACATTGGGACGTCCGCTAAGTTTCTCGATGTAATCCGACTTATATGGTCCTAAATAACACTATTTACTCGGGTACACTTTTTCACCAGTGGGGAATTTCTCGGAATCACACCCTTTTTGACCACACCCATATCGCGACCCCCACTATAAATTATCTCATCTTCTAATTGAGATACAGACCTCAATTAGTGCTATGAACAAACTTAAGGCCTAAGAGACTTAGCTTCTGAGAAATCGCCAAAAATCTGATAATTTCTTACACAATGTAAAGTGTAATTCTAGTTAATGTCTGTACCTGGCTACCGGAAGGACCCTCAAGGAATGTAACAGTAGATGGTAAATCAGGTACATGAGCTACCAGGACCCCGCTTCTGTCTGCAGAGTCGCTGCTCTCTGGTGAGAAATATTTCACATTATTGTTTAAAGACTACGTTAGCTTCGTGATGATAAGTAATCATTGATAATATTAAATATTTTACTACTTGCCAAGTTGGTGTATTACTGCTGAATATAGTTATGTGTGTTCTACTGTACTTCACGGTTACGAATGTGGGGCTGAGCTAAAATCTCACATACCAACATCTGCCTATAATAACACACTAAATTATTCCAAGTATCCATTATGCATGATGTTTTTGCATTAAATTCCATTTTCAAATTATTAAAATTGCAATGGAAAGAGAAATAAACTTAATTATGTTAATACATAACATTAACACGGGAGGTCTGTTAAAAATAAATACCCAAATAACATAATATTATCTGCATCGTTGTCATACCCACCTCCATTACTGTAAGATGCAGAATTGATTATTTCGGGTTCACTTATATCACTAGCATCCTCACGGTCTGCTATTACATACGACTTCTCTTCGCCATTTTTCATGCTTCAACGAAAACAGAATCAATGTTAATGGTATTTCAAAAAAATTTATATTCAAAAATGTTAGTGATCAAACATTGATACATATGATAAACTTTTACATTTTTGAAGAACAACAAAATGGTCACAACAAAATCTTCAAGCAAAAAACACAAACATAGTAATATTTACGGATGCTTTAGTGAGGAATTTAAGAATCTAATTCCTAGTCATAATATTTCCATAGCCACCGACTGATTTTTGTCAAAAAAATATTTAAATTAAATTAAAATTAGTCGCTCTCAGGGGTTCTTAAGACGTTCGAATTGAGCGCATTACATATGTAAGATCTAGCTAGATTCTTGTTGATTCTTGGGACAAAAAACGCTTCAAATATTTTTGGAAATTCCAAGTAACTCTTCATTCTCAGGAATCTACAGAAATCTACGACTTTTTTTCAGTCGCGACTTGTTTCTAGTGGAGTATTTTTCAGAACGCGCTTAAAATTCCCATGCGAATATAGACACAAATATTACACTCTTGAATATGGCCGCGTGGCCTGGCGCAATGGATTAATGCGTTATCCTCAAATCGGCAGGTTACGAGTTCTGGACTCACAGACGATAATTTTATTCCCACTTTTTTGGCAATTATGAATAACTAATGAATAACTAATAATACCTCAGTAATATAATTACCAAAGCACAATGCAGTATGGTATGGAATTTAGGGTGATACATAATGAAATATTCACCCGGCCGCGGAGCGGCCGGAAAATGTATAGTCGTTTTAAAAATATATAATATAGTTTGTTTTCTTTCCAGACTGGATACCTAGTCACTTTTTAAATTTATGCCAGTGGTAAAAAGTTTTTTTTAATTTTGTCATCATCCAAAGTTAAAACATGATTAAGAACGTGGAGGGAGGGGTTGGCACATGATAAAGTACTGTAAAGCTGTAAGGGAGTTTATTGATGCTAACAATTACTGACAGAGGAGTGCTAGCCTCTTTAAAAGGTTTATAAAGATTAAACATTGGGATATTTTCATTGTATATTACATAATATGCTGTCCAATTATCATGTAATTCTAATTCCAAAATTGACTTATAAAGCTCTATTTATAAAGCTATTTAAAATTGAATTATAAAGCTATTTATAATTGACTTATAAAGCTATTTATAATTGACTTATAAAGCTATTTATAATCGACTTATAAAGCTATTTCTGATATATATCAACAAGACCAGATTTTTCATGGTCACAGTCTTCAAATATAACTTGTTCACTTATCCACTATTCAGCCAATGCAAATCGGATCACATGGAAGGAAAGCCCTCTTGTCCAATATCCATTCTGATTAAATAATTCAACATGGAGTGCATCATTATTCTCATAAATATAACACACCTTCAGCAATTCTTTGAAATTATGATCGATATAAACCGGAACCCATTCCCATGTAGAATCCAAACTTTTAAGTTGCTTCACATCAATGTATCCAACATCATCTTGATGTGGTGAAATGTGCTTTACTCTTATCTTATATTCATTTGCAACATTGCAAGGTCCTTTGATCTTATAGAAGATGTTGTATTGCCCAGTTGGGAGAAGTATTTTGCTCACTACAAAATTTAACCAACAGACGTTGTTCACCTTTAAGTATGTTGAATGCTCACTTATTCCAATTTTCTCATCATCAGTTTCAAATGTCACATATCGATGTGAGGTTTTATCTACATCGAGCCATGTCACAGAGTTGTTGGACAAATATATTGACAGTGCAATATTGGGAACATTTATAAGATTTACAGAATCGTCAGATTGTTTCTTTAACCCAAGAAGAGCACACCTTTCAACCTCTTGGTCTCTAAAATTTGCTGCATACATTTCATAATTCTTTAATAGTTGAGAATAAAATTCTTCAAATTCTATGACATGTTTACTGCTGAAAAGTTTATCTCTAATGGGCATTACATCAAATACAATTTGCCATATTTCTCGGGGCAAATATGGTTTTATCTCAAGAATACTAACTTTTTCATATGTCGAATCGCTCGTTGACTCATTCATTATGTCCCTCTTGCGTCTTGCTCCCTGCATATTACCCATTTAGTCTAAATGTACTGTTAAGTAAATAAATAGATTTAAATGATTGCTGTTAAACACTGATTTCTGAATGAAGAACTACAAATTTGTGAGAAAACTTTAATTTCTTATTTCAATTTCAAAATGTCAAAAAACCCAACTGTTTTCCGCCTCATTATTAAATCATTTCAATCAACCATATTATAACCGTAATTTTTCCCCATTTAACCAATTTATTACTGTCATCGAACTTTGAGCTAGGTAAAACCTACGAAAAAGTTTTCAAAATTTTTGCATGAAATTTTCGGAAACGACTCTAAATCGCATTTCCGATAGAAAGCCGATTTATGATTTAGGCCTCGAAAAAAATTTGGCGGGCAAAATTCAGAATTTGGTCGCCGAATGTTTCGATTCCCAAAATTTCATGCAAAAATTTTGATAACTGATCTTGAGTTATTTCAAAATTAATGAAATCAATTCCAAAGGCCGGGGAACACTAGGAATATCATATAGTCGCAAGCAAATAACACTGAGAAGGCACAAACAAGTTTACTTTGTCACATACTCTTGATGATATCTGAACATGTGTGAAATTGAGCAAATATTGATATACCAGTTTAGACACCCTATATTCCGTACTAAATCAATCAACTACAAGATTAGCCTTGCTAAAAGTCGCCTGAAAAAGGCACTTCTAAAGCTGCAACATGCTTATAATGATCCAGCATGGACCTCAAGCAATTATGACATAATGCAGCTGTCATTTGAAAACAATCCCCTTCAACAAATTTAATCCAGTGTTCTCGGCCCACAGGTTCCTCCTATTAAAAAATTTGATTTTGGTAAATGTGTGCTGACACCACAACCTATGTATTTAACCTAATATTTAGTGTATTACAGATAGAAAACCTGGTTTCAGTCCCCCCCCCCCCTGTGAACCACACACCAATCACAAACATTGTTTTGTGGTAGTAATATGTTTATAGTATCACAATTGAAACATTGCAACATGGCAAAAAATAGGTTAATTTTGTCAAAGTAAAATTAAGCCACTATCGTCGAAAAAAAAAAAAAAAGGGGGGACCCCCAACCCATGTAGCTGAGACACCTCACAGCAAGTAGACCAAAGTGGCTCTTGCTTGTGATCGGTGCATCAACTACCCGCCGAAGCGGTGGGTTGGGAGTCCCCCCTGGGATCATTTCGTCCGTAAAATTGTATACAATATAAAATAGTACAGTAAAATATCTACAAAATTTACATAAACAAATCTAGGAGACCTCAAAGCTCGTCTTCTGGGGAATGAGGTTGAAGGATACGTCTTGCAGTTCAAGATGCTGGGCTGTTGACCTTCCTCTGATTCCCCTCAGTGCAATGAGTGTACTTCTTAACAGATCGAATCTGAATCGTGTTCTGATATGATTTTTGACTTGGCTCTTGGCTTCTTTTTTGTGGTCAGCTATCATCTCAGAGACACGATCTACAAACACTGTGCAGAGCGGTCCCATACCTCCGGAGGTTGTGAAGACTAGAGGGACAAAGGATCCCTTCTCCGACTGAAGTACTCTCTCTTCATACAAATCTTTCTTTTCTTTCTCATGATCTCTATAGATCTTATCTAGTGGCTTAAATGTATTTGTGTCACAGTTAGGATGTGTGACCCTGATGTCATAGAATGTTCTTTCAAAAGGTGCATACAATCCGACAGCTGCTACATCAAGACGGGCTTCATCCTGGGTGTTGGTCTTCCTTGAGAATGAGCTTGGTTGGACTGTCAGGAGTGCTGGTTCTATCCTTACATCTTTACACTTTGCTTCTCGGAGGAAGAAAGCAGCAGTGTCTCTTATGGCATTGTGGCGCATGGAAACATATCCACCTAGTTTACAGTCAAGGGCGTGGTAGATACTGTTTACATTTCCGCAGGCACATTTAGAGGGCACTCCTTGGATCTTCCAACCATAACGTAGGCGTATGCTGTCTTGGAACTCCTGCCTGTTCAGAACATAGTTGAGGTCCTTCAGTGGTAGTGTTGAGAGCCATGTTGAGGCTCCCTTCTCTCTTGCTTGGTCTAGGTGGTTCTTAAGTTGATGATCTGACTCATTATAGAGCACCTTGAACCTTTGGGAGAGAAACTCCTCTTTCTGTTTCCTCAGTTCTTCTTTCTTTTCTTTTATCTTGCCCAGATCCAGCTTGGTGATATCCTGGTCTTGTTGGTTGATCAAACTCACAAGGTCTTTAGTTACTGCTACTGAGTAAACATATTCACGGGATGTTATCCGGACAGGATTGATAATGCCTAGCCCTCCACATCGAACAGGAAGTTCAAGGATATCTCTCTCGTGCTGGCTGACTGGGCGACCAAGGAAGGCTGGAATGAGCACATGCATGATCTTGCTCTCCAGTGGGGCAAAGTACTCAGCAATATCAGGTATTGTCCTCATGAAGAACCTCCATCGGTGGCATACTCCTTTGGTGAAAGCTGAATAAGCCAGCTGTGGTTCTTCAGATGCAATATCAGCAAGTTGCTCAATATCTGTTATCCATTTCTCAACTTTTTCTTTAATGTAATCTTCCCTGTATTTCTTTGAGCCTACCACAGCACCAAGGTGACGTTCTCCAGATGTCGTGATCTTAACTCCAAGATGCCCAAATAGAGTCTCTGCTTCAGTTTGGTCTTCGGGATTCTTGACAATTAGAATGGTCTTTTTAGCGTTGGGGTAGTACCCATATCCCGGGCCGATGTCACAGAGTCTATTCCACCACTGAAGAAGTTGGATGAAGCTTCCACATGCGGAGCTGTCATCAGCGTACCACACCATGGTTGCTTCTGCATAAGCTCTGAGATCATCTATTATAGGTCTAGTGGCTATGGAGTAAAATTGCATTGCTGCAACATCTCCTTGAGTGTTTCCTTCTTCACCCCAGATGAACTCCCCTGACTTTGACCCTGAAATAAAGAGCTTTGTCCTTGCTTGATAGGTGTTTTTGAGAAATTGGTGAAACACAGGGCAGGTTGTTGCAACAGTATCTAGGGCCTGCTCTCGGTGTAAACTGTTGAAAGCATTTGATGCATCAACTAGGAGAAGGCCTTGGCTATTCTCGTTGGCAAAGTTCTCAGCCATTGAGTGAACTGCAGCCTCTATGCCTGACTCAATGCCACTACAAGTTTGAAGAGACCCACTTGCTTCCTTAATGTGTTCTTTGATGGTTCTTGTTACAGTTTTTGTCATGATACGTCGCAAAACTTCACCGATAGGTCTGACTCCTGGTCGCTTATCTAAAGGGATCAATCTACTTGCAAGAAGGTCACTGAGCATGGAAGGATCAATAGTTTCTGTGCATAGTCTTTTGGTGACATCGGCTATGGCTTGAGCTAGGATATCGTTGGATTTTCCATAGCTCTTTGAGCATAAGATATGTTTCCAACCATCAGCATCTATGAGGGTGGGGCCTCCTGAACCATGGGTATTCTTGGCCGCAGCTTTTATAGCTTCGCCATCGATTTCTTCAAACAATACAGGTTGGATATCGATTGTTGGAAGTTTCTCTGGCCCCTCACGTTTTGTTGCAGGGGTATCGTCGAAAACGCTATTATTTTTGTTTACCAATATCCTCAAAAATCTACAATCTAACAACCATCATGATCAGAATGTTCTCCTTTCAAATTTAGATAGTTTTTAAAAATTAATATCCTCAATTAACTTTTAAAAAACAAAATCCTCAAACTCAAATGAACGTATCCATATATTTTTTCGCATAGTGCGATGATATTTTGTAGAAATGTGTGATGATGTGATGTCATACATTTTATGTTTTACTTTACTTTCCCTGAAGCTTCCTGAACAGCTTTCTGTTTCCTATACGTGAGAGTAGCGAGCAATTAGACTAGCAAGCTAGGTAAGGCCCGCGGTGCATTCAGCATTGCGCTACACGCTACAATTCACAGTTACAGTTCATATGCTTGTAGCGCGATGCGTTACTGTGCCGCGCCGCGCACTCAATTATGCTTCTCGTTGTCATACGTTGTATGACCCGCCGCGCACGAAGTGCGCGGCTCCCGGGCCCCTGTATCGTCAGGACGCGACGATAGTGAAACGACCGTGCGGGTCGCAACGTGATACAAGCTTCTCGCTAGATCATTAACGGGTGATACTCGTAAAATATCTGTTCTATATATTGGAACCATATACAGTACCGTCGACGAGTCCAACTCGGCGCGCGTCCTGGTAGGTTGTAAACCTAAAAAATTGGCTTTATCTTCAGTTGTGTACTAGTACATTTTTCGACGCGATTGAAACTTACTAACAAAAATACTATTAGCTTCCCCCTGTATCGTTGAAACTCTATAGTGAAGTGAACTATAGTGAAGCGACAGTGGGGGTCATCTTGATTCACGATGTCAATCCTTCCTAGCTCGGCGAGGCCCAGTGGTGCATCTCGCCGATTTAGGAGAAGATGCTTCGCAGAGCAACGACCTTGATGGGTTGACATTTTCAATCAAAGCACGTGGTTAATAAAACTGCAATGTGGAAGTTGTAGGTTTACAACCTACCAGGACGCGCGCCGAGTTGGACTCGTCGACGGTCCAATATATGGAACAGATATTTTACGAGTATCACCCGTTAATGTGGAAGCATTGGCACCTTCAGTTAAAATTATATCCAATATTCATATGATGATGAAACGGAAACTTAAAGCAAACATGTAATGGCAGGGTGCACGTGCAGTGCAAGTGATGAGTAATTTAAAATGTACTTATGCTTGTTCATTGTTGTTTACGCTTTAAAAATTGCACCATTCACTAAAATACGTATTTTTATTTTCTTCTCGATCTTTAGGACATCTTCCATTTCTACTTTTTATTTCTTTAGGTGATTACCATGAAATTTAACGATCCTCAACATGTAACGGTACGCAGTTGTTTTGTGTTCCTTGCTTTGATTTATATGACGCCGCGCATACAGATTCTCGATTGTAACGCTACCAAAAATAACTTTGCGGATATTGTCATATGACCATTATCGAAAGCACATGGTCTCGTTTTACCGTAGCAACCCCCGTCCGACAACATGTAATTTGCTGAGACACAATAGTGTTTGTGTGTTGATATGCAAATCTTTGTAAGCACGCGAAGTTTACTTTGGAAAAAGTCTAGTTAAAAACGATTCATGGTTAGGCATGTTTTCGAACAAGTTGCCTGACACGAAGAGTCGTATATTTGGCAGTAGTAATGAATCGTCTAGTTTGTATGCAAGGTTGAGTGAGGTAACGGCTTCTCTAACAAGAAACAAGCAAGTAGATCTCTCTGAAAGTAATGGCCTGCCACCATTGAGAGGAAAGATGCCCAGTTCCAGACAGAAGAGCAACACGCTACCTCACCTAGGCCACGGACCCCAAGTTCAACAACTCTATGATGATGACCAACGACACCACGCTAAGCTTAAAGAGGATATCTTGCCAAAGGTTCAAACTCAAGGAGATCCAGGAAAGGTAAATAGTTATTTTTACTGCATGTTAATAATTTTATTTAATAAGCTTTAGAAGATTTTGTATACCTATTACGATTCATTGCAGCACTGTCACTTGTTAGTAAATTTGTTCAAATTGGAACAAAAACTTTTTTATTTTGAGATGTGCCGACACTTTCACAGATCACCAAACGTTCATATTTCTATCTTGATGCAGAAATCCGCCATTTAACTTTAAACAGTTTTGATTGATGTATCCAGTTGATATCCTCCTGTAATAATGATGTTAGTCGGAATGATTTACCGTGATCGTCACATAACCTTGGAGCTCAAAGCTGACAAAGCCCGTGCAATTACTAGAGTAGCCTAGAAGAAGCTACATTCAAAGCTGTGTCAGACTTATGTTATCGTTTTTCCAACCCAATTCAGCTCCATCTGCAAGGTCGGGTTAAGTCGCATTTCCCACATCATTGCAAGAAATCAGCATGTGCATAAAATACGGTTAAGTTGAGCCCCTCTTTTCCCTTTGTTTGTATGCAGCTTATCATGATTATGAATTTTAGAAATCTGCTGAGAAAGAGATCCTTCTTGTTAAAAGTACCAACACCTTCGAAACTATTGCAGTTAACCGTACCGGCTATTTATTCTTGGAAATTACTCAGATTTGTTTTAAGGTTCTAATGCAGTTTCCGGACGTGGCCACGGGCAAGATTCATTGTCTCAACGAGAGTATTCCAAAGGTACGGATCTGGCAAACTTACCCCATAAGTTATTATTATATATAGTCCAGTGTTTTTTTCACCGATTCCCATGTGTCAATTATTTTCTACAAGCTGTTCAGTAATCTATCGATGAACCAAACGATTGCTGACTAAATGATGCCTTAATTCGATACATGCATTATTTTTAGATGGTCAGGCAGTGAGTGTCTTGCTCAAACTTATCCATCGGCATGTTTTATTTTGGAATGTTTAATCTTGCTGATTTCAGTATCAAAACATATTTCATAAGGAGTTTTTAAGTATTTTAACCAAGGATTTAATCTAAATTCTGAGCTAGAACCAATCTTTGATACTTCGTTCGAACTAAATTATGCACGATAATGTTGTTATTCGGTTGATAAACTAAACTTGGCGCATTCGGCAAGGTTCTTTGATTCAATTGTCTCAAAAATTGTATCTGTTTATAATGCTATAAGCTATTAAATACTTACCTTGCATACTTTAAGGCCAGGAAAAAAACCACATCAAAATCTCACCGTTCCTGAGATATCGCGTGCCAAAGTTTGAGGTTTCCCTGTAATTACTAATTAGTAGTGAAACTTAAACTTAAAAAAGGCAAACTTTTTGGAAAAGACTGGCCACGCCCAGGACCGGAAACTTGGCACATGCACAGGTGCAGTGTTCCTTGGGCGAATACCCAAATAACTTAGTAACAGAATTTTGAATTTTACTTTTGTTGACGAAATATGAGGTTAACTTTCTGAGAAAATTCGATTTTTAATGAATTTGGGGTTAAGTTAACATAGGTTTTTGGGTATTTCCCCAAGGAACACCTGTGCCAAATCAGGTCCTGGGTGTGGCTAGCCTGGTACGCAAGATCATATTTTGATGTAGTGCAGTTTTTTCCTACTTGTTCGTCTCCACCAGCTCTATCAAATATTTGAAAACTAAAAAAATGATTTTTACCCCCCTCCTCCCCCCTCTCCTGCCTTTAATATTCGTAATATTAGTACTCATTTCTGTTTTTTTGCAAAGTTCGCTATCATTGGAATATGAATTTTCTCGAGCTAAATAGGCACATACTAAAATGTTGTACTAACTAAGTTAACTTTTCCCACGACCGGCCCATCTTTTACCCAATGGCATAGCTTCTTTGACGAAGCATGCACACTTCCCCAAGGTAGATTGAAACCTTCGAAATGTGTACTTACTTTAAGTAATTTGAAAGTTTTCTAGGAAATAAAGTGCCTGATTATTGTATTAGGTGGATAAAATTTTACTACTACTATAAGTAAGGTTTGCTAAATTTACGCTAGACGAATATACTATATTATATGATCTTTAACTTTTTCTCTTGTGATGTAACTCGAAATTTTCAGATCATCGGACTATTAGTAAGGCAAATTATCCGTTAATTAGTCGACAAGAATTTATGAATGGAAAGGGTGCTCAATAGCTCACTTCAAAAACACTATTTAATGAAATATATCAAAAATTCTAACAACAGTATTAATGTTGCTTAATGTAATTCTTAAATTTTACATTTATATACATAATATATGTAATTATAGACTTTACGGATGTGATACTAATCAGGAATAGAAAGTAAGAAGATTTTAGATAGAGTTCAATTTCAGCCGATGAAGAAGATGTAGAAAGTGCTGCTAATGTTCTTTCAGAGTGATCCGTATCCATGGCAACGTTACAAAACTGAATTAAACATTCCTTTTTTCTTTATTCCGTATTATCTCAATATGAAGTAAGCACTAATGCGGCAATGATCATCGAAAGATCTATTAAAATGCTCCAGAATCTCTTAGTTCATCCTAGGATATCATGCAGAGTTGCATGTTTATTTATAGTTACCCTGTAGCGTTGTGACGCCACTAGGAGACCACTGTACACGTCCTGTACTCACACTGTACGGATCACGTGACTAGATTGTTTGTACACGCCTACCTCTCTATCTGTCATCATTGTTTACACTGAAATGTTTCCCGTCAATCAGTCTTACATTTTGGGCCCAGAGCAGCGTGGCGGTGGTGGCGGCGGCCAGGGCACCGTGGTCCTCACCACCCGCCACAAGCACGGTTCTGGATACAGCAAATCGGACTGTTCCTATAGTCATGGAGCTCCGGCAAGCAGCGATTATTCGTCCTTGTCTATAGTAAGTTGCTAAGTCTGATATCTAGCCATATACAGTCAATAGCCATTTAATATGGCTATTACGAACTGTTCGATAAACTTTTGTTTTGGATCAGGATAGGCCCATCCTTTGTCAGCGGAAATTTCCAAAGCACCTGATTAGCTGAAAATCTATAATTAGATAATTATATGATGTACAAAGAACAATTTCTCTAGTTCACATGATGTGTGGAATAACCAGGTATGATGTGCAAAATGATTTGTTTTTAACCTAAAATAAATCGTCAATTAGCTATTAACAATGCACCAAAGGTGGTCGCACTATTTTCCTGCTCAGTAAACATAAACAAATATTGTCCATAATGTTGATTTGGCTAAGTTGCACGTTTGTTGAGTTGAGTATTATAATAAGTTAATAACACAGAACACGGTATCATGCCTATTAATTTGGATAATTATGAAATTGAAAAGAAGCAAAGTTTGCGGGTTCCCATCAGCTCAACCGCAGCTTACGTTCTTATTCAGTTGGAGGTAAATAATCATTATATAGTCTCGCCTTTTCGAGACCAACTGGATTACTATTAGCTGTATAAATGTGTTTCCCTGCACCTGACTCTTATCTCTAGATTAATCTCGACCTCAGTAGCTAGCCACGTGACTTAATATCTGCGTTTTTCTGCTTGTTTGTAATAACGGCGATACATCTTTAGATATTTTCTCATCATCAAAGACAGTTGTTTTCCCTTGATGAGCGTGAAGAACGGAAAGAAATTGTTTAAAAGTTGTACGTTATAAGTTGTTAAAACCATTGGTTACTCTTAGCTAGTAGAGTAACAGTGTAGAGACCAATCAAGCGAAAATTTACGAAATTGTCTTCAAAATTAGTATCTTTAATGCATTTTTTGTGAATTACCAAGCAAGAAATTTTAACTTCTTGCATGCATCCCTAAACTAAGAGATGGATTTTTATTTTATGCTTGTCAAAAAATTCTGACTTACACTTTTAGTTTTTCTGAAGTCAATAGTGGTCTATCGACTAATGAAGCGATAAAGTTGTAAGGTAAGTTAAGCCATCAGGACAAATTTATATCCGTAAAGTAACTAAAATTAACATGCACTTACAGCTTGATTTACAATTTAAGTTCATCTACAGCATGAATTTCCAAAAATAGACACATCGTTAAAACGAGAGTTTGAGCACGGTGTATACCGATACGTTTCTCAAAAACGTGTGCGTGATTATTTCATGAAAAAATAATTAATTTTTTGAAATGATTACCGCTGACATTAGAAGTTTTTACTAGAATAGTCTAGATAGCCTAGATCAAATCAGCTGATATCAGTTCACATTTGGCAAATTTTTGTCATTTGATGACAAAAGACAGTCCCATACCTAGGAACCTTTAACAGATAAAGGGTTAACCGTAATCCGATACTTGTAAAGTTGGACATTGAAGCATCGTTACCATGGTTACAACTGAACATATTGCAATGTCATGATAATTTGATATTTGGAGATCTTTAGCGGTTGCTACAAGTATGACAACAACATAAGCGTAGCAAATTCTGTCACAGTATTTTATTACACCTGAAAGCAGAAAATATGCGATTAATTCCAGTGAAGTTTCCCCGAATTAAAGGATATAGGCCGGGTAAATCGGGGTAAATCAATAAAGTACTAATTGCAAACTTACGCTAGAGGAAAGTTTGTGTTTTGCCGTTTTAGAAATTTTGCATTAATTTCTAGACCTGCCGTATACTGCAGTCAATACGATCACAATTTACATACGATCAATCGATGAGAGCGTCTTCGTGTTTTAGGTTTGTTCAAAAACATAGATAGCGTTAAACCGTATTCGTGTTTCATGTGATCTCATCGTATTGATGGATTACTGAGGAGTTTCTGCGGTTCTAATTACTTGTATTTTAAAATTCCAAGATTGAGCAGAATGATATTCAAGATGCAATATCCGGATTCCGGAACGCCTTAATAAGAAATTTCATAAAAGGTTACTCACTCAGATACTGTAAATCTCACTGCTTGGTTAATTGAATCGATCTTATTCTGATAATCTTATAATTTCAGCTTGAAGTCTTCAAGAAGTCATTAGGAACTAGGAATTATTATTGAATCAAGTGCCGTTTTAGAAACATTCCCTATTATGTGTTTGCGGTCATTCATCCGTACCCACAACGTATACAATGTGATAAATCTAGACAAATTTTGCCATCTTTTCCTGTGTTAATTATGTATTTAGGTAGTGGTTGCTTTTGTACAGTCATTGGCTGCTCAGTTTAATTCTGTCAAAAGCAGAGAAATGCTGGTAACAGCCTAATGTAATTATTGCCTGACTGGGTACGTCACCCGTTTCCTGGTCACTGATTGGCTGGAGCGTGGTATGGTGACCCAGTCACGTGATACCCAACCCAGCACACACACGCAAACTGATTTATGGATATAGAGCGTGGCAAAATGAATATTTTAATCCACCTAATATGGCGTTAACTTTGTTCCGTACTACGTTTTTTGCACAATTTTAATTTTTCTCTCTGGTTTATGGCAATCTGACCAATGTCTAGTCCGGTAGGTTATTTTCCTTGATCGGTTATTACATTTCTAATCATTCCTTTTATTATCGATTCACTCAGACAATCTAGCCATATTTTGACTAGAGATCGTTTTAACGATGCAATGTTAATAACTACAATTAATTAGATTTGACGGGAGTCTCACGGAATTTCCATAAATCACTTTTGAGTACCCTGGGTGGTTTGCATTTTAAGTTTTCCTTGCATACTTTGTACTAAAATGCTTGACGCCTTCGCGCCGCTGATTGTTAATATAAACGAGGTCTCGTCTCGGTTTGATTTAAACGAGGTAAAATGCTCTCCAATGAAAGTCAATGGCTTCGTAGTATTGGATCGAATAATAATTGCTAATTTTAGGGAGACACCTTGCGGCTATTCCACCGTATATATTCGAGGAGTATGATCTTCATGATATAACACAAAAAATTGAGTTGGTATACGGTCTATTGATGAATGTCAGCGGCGCTAACTTGTCCATGTTTGTGAGATCAGGTGTGTATGCAGTGCAGGGGAGATGTCAACAAGCAATCCATCACTCGGCCCCCTGCACACGTTCCTCCGTAGTCCGTACACCTTGTACACCTCCGTACACCTTGTACACTCTTAACTACATTCTGCGTCATATCATCCTCCTTTCATCATGGTTAACGGACTTATTGATATCTTTATATATTTCCTCATGACACGTAATAGATTTATACCATCCATCTAGCATTATATAATGATATATAGATAGTGATATGCGCAGGCTTTCGTTATGCGTCTCCTCTAAAACGTCACTGATTCATCATCTGTTCCATTTGACTAACAATGTTGAGCTAATTAATTATGTGTACTGGACAAGAGCAACATGACTTGATTAAACTTAAGTATCAGCTGCTATGCAAAAAAAAGTCAGTGCAGTCAAGAAAGCATCGTTCAGTTTTCTTCACGTATCGCAAGAAAAATATACCATTATATTTTGTTCTCTGCAACTGTAATGGCATTTGCAAAGTTACAATTCAAACTGCCACTTGCACTGTCAGGTAAACTGTAACTTATTCCTCTTGAAATACAAATATTGCCGTCAAATGACGTTAAACCCCATTATAATGAGTGCAAGAAACTAATAAATTCTAACTGGATCGCTTATTGAGCCGTATGGAATGGATGGTGCTTTGTATCTTAGCATCAAAAGAAATCTTTAAAATGTATTTTTAAATCTTGATATTACTTTCAGGCTGAAATTTGTTAGCGTTATACGTACGTTAAGGTTATGTTTATCTAACTGTTAATTTATTTCAGGACAAGAAGTCGCACTCCCGTAACTCCTCTCCCTCCCCTCACAAGAGACTTGGGTCAGCTGCGTCCAGCCACAAGAGCACCAAGTTAACCTACATGAGTCCAGAACAAGCCATGAAGCACTACATGCACAAACTGTCCGCCTACGAGCACCACGAGATCTTCAACTACCCTCAGATTTACTTCCTTGGGCCCAGTTCTAAAAAGAGACAGGGTGTCATTGGAGGTCCCCAGAACTGCGGATATGACGACGATGCTGGACAATACAATTACGTGCCTCACGATCATATCGCGTACCGATACGAAGTGTTAAAAGTTATCGGCAAAGGCAGTTTCGGCCAGGTCGTCAAGGCATACGATCACAAGACGCATGCTCACATTGCTCTCAAAATGGTTCGTAACGAGAAACGCTTCCATCGTCAGGCCCAGGAAGAGATCAGAATCTTAGAGCATCTGTGTAAGCAGGACAAGGACAATGTGCATAATATTGTGCATATGGTGGAAACATTCACTTTCAGGAACCACATATGTATTACCTTCGAACTTCTATCCATGAACTTGTACGAACTTATCAAGAAAAACAAGTTCCAAGGATTCAGTCTGGCTTTGGTCAGGAAGTTTGCTCACTCGATCTTACAGTGTTTGGAAGTTCTCCATCGAAACAGAATAATTCACTGTGATTTAAAACCAGAGAACATTCTGCTGAAACAGCAGGGTCGAAGTGGGATTAAAGTTATAGACTTTGGATCATCTTGTTATGAACACCAGCGGATATACACGTACATCCAATCTCGTTTCTACAGAGCACCAGAGGTGATATTGGGAGCTAAGTATGGCATGCCAATAGATATGTGGAGCTTTGGCTGTATACTCTGTGAGTTATTAACGGGTTATCCTCTTTTGCCTGGTGAAGATGAGGGTGATCAATTGGCGTGTATCATAGAGCTTATTGGCATGCCTCCTCAGCGGCTTCTCGATCTTTCCAAGCGTTCTAAGAATTTCTTTAACTCTAAAGGTCAGCCACGGTACTGTACAAGTGGTGATGGAACTCTGACCACTGGACGGTCTCGTAGAGGCAAACCTAGAGGCCTCCCTGGCACGAGAGATCTTACTGCAGCCTTGAAATGTAACGATCCTCTGTTTCTGGACTTTATAAACAGATGTCTAGAATGGGATCCCTCACAGCGCCTCACTCCATCTGCCGCACTGCGTCATAGCTGGTTGCGCCGCAGGCTCCCACGTGCACCACCCCAGACAGAAGCCCAGGGCACATCAGCTGAAAAAACAGCAGAGAAGCTACCTCCAGCCCCAAAACACCCGTCTTCTGGAAAGAGTCACAAAGTCAAATCGTCCTTGGTGGAATCACCACCTCAGCAGTCAACTAACACTGGTGGTATCAGCCAGAAACCCAGGACAGTCTTGCCTAAAATCGTGGGATAGCGTCCCACTGAACCACGATATTGAGTGTCTTATTGAATACAGATACAAGTTCGTCAGATTTTGGGCACAAAATCGCCTCAATCAGTATGCTTTATACCGTACAAATATTTGAACATTGATTTGTATGCTTCGATTTCACTGCTTTATACTCGTAAGAAAGAGACTGGACACATTTGAACTTGTGGATGTGTATGCGGTATACACGATTTGATTTAATCTGTTTTCCATAATGTGGTTTTGTGTGTAAAAAGTGTACATAGTAAATAGTTGGTATAAACTTAAAGTATTTAAGGTGTACACGTTTGTATTTGATGCAGTGGTCGCTAGAACTATAAAATTAATTTATATGATAAGAATTGTCTAGATGAGAATTAATTAGATCTAGTTGAAAGAAGTAAAAAACTCAAATCATCCATGTTGTTTTAAAGATTGGGAATACAAGATGAGGGACGCTATGAACTGAATTAGGACGTTAAAATCTAATAAATCTATTGATTGTAGTGAATTATAACACCTGCCTCTTCTTTGTATTCCCAATTTTTAGGTACAGACAGAAGGTACGATCATGTTTTAATGATCCGCAACCAGTCCAATTCTTTCTAACATATTTTGTACATAGAAGATGGTAACCGAGTTTAAGATACAAATTTTTAGTGCTCGAATAACGACCGAAAGGATCTATCTTGATGGCTTTTGTTCTTTTGAAGGCTGTTATCAAATATTGAGTTGAGTGTCATTTAGTTCTTTTAAGTTCTGTTAACAAGCCGTTTTCAATTTCATTTGATTTTAGAAGCGTTCATTTCGATCGAGGAACAAAGTAATAGAGCGTAGATTTATTTTCCTAACGAATTGCTTAGATTCCTTAAAATTGTATAGTATTTGATTTTCGTGATGTGAGAAAATGCTGGATATCTTTTCATTCTCTCCACATCAATAGGTAGATCGTGCTAGCACTCTATTGTTAGAATTTATACCACCTTGCATTACAAACTTAGCGAAAGGCAACTTTTCGTTAGGGGTTGGGGGAGTAAATACATAGATTTTATTAGAAAATTATTTAACGGCACACTGGTAATTTTTAAATATCAGTTTTAATTTGTTTCATTTCTTTACATGTAATTGTTGTGTTTTATTGATTTTAACATCTGTTCTACCTGATCATGAAAGTATCCCAAACAATAAATAAAGCATGATAAAATAAACCTACTATGTCCACAAATCGATCGTGAACTTGCGTATTTCACGATCAACATGACTCAAACCAATTTATCTGAAAATATTTATAGCAAACAATCAACTGAATTGATTCGCCATCGCCCGTTGCCGTCGGGATTCCTGCTTCGCTTCTCGTATTTTGTCAATTACATGCCATTAAAAACTAGTTCTAAAATTGTATCAGTTGTTGTTAAAACGCACACCAGTTTGATATAAAAAATAAATAATTAAGGTAGGAAAGTTGTTGATTTACAGGCGTCATTAAGCAGCGCTACATTGATACGCCCTGCCCCTGAATGGTTGCTGAAGAATATCTGCCCTGGTACATCGCTCTTGTAATTGCTAGCCGCTGGATGAGTCTGCTATCCAGGAAACTGTTCATTAACCAACATATACACCGCGCTGCTTCTTATCTCACTTTAATTTCTCACGTAGAATTACTACCGCCAACATTTGTTTTCAGCAATTAAGTGACGAACATTAATTGCTCTAAATTTGTCCCCCAACACGGACTCAGTTTTTGGTCCCGAACTAAACATAACGAACAGTGATGAATGAGCAAACATGAGATCATTTTACAGGATTTTAAGCCTAGTTGCTTTCTCATAACTTGTGATCAAAGCTTTTACTAAGAGACAAGTCTGACATCATATCCATCATCTTTGGTATGTGACAACTATTAAAAATACCTTACAATCTGAGCATTTCCTGAGAAAGCCCATTGCAAGCAGTACACCCAGGTCGTTGAGCCGTACTCCGAAAATGTCTTAATTGATAGATAATGATAATTGCCTAAAGTAAACTGTACGAGACTAAATGGTTACAAGTAATTGCCGTCTTTATAATGCTCGGTTATCAGAATGTCAGTATGTTGTAAATACTAACAGAACTCAGAATATTAAATTTCAACATACTAATTTTTATCAAGTTTCAACAGACCAATTAATACTAATAATTGTTCATCAGGATATACTTTAAAACACAGAAATAAGGATTGATTTGTTAATTGTTAATGATGCAGATAGGGCGCCTAGAATCCTGTATATAACAGCAAGCTTTCTTGATATTTAAATTTTGGGCTTATTTTCAATTCGATCCCCTGAGCTGCATGAAATTAAAAAGCAATGACAAATTAGATGGTTTAGAAATTATGAAAATCACAATTTTGCCCGTGGTACTGATAAAACCCCCTTGATCTTGAGGAACACACTCCTGAAGTGTGTTCTAATAACCCTGCCCCTGAGCTTTAGATGACATCATCACTCATCATGGACAGGGCTTTAATATCCCTTCCCATTCATCAGCATTTTCAAACCTTCTCTCCAGGCTGCTGACGTAATATGTGAACAATGTACTGAAATGACACAGAGTGATAACTTATTTTTCATAGAATCAGCCTCTTATCACTGATAAGAGGCTGATTCTATGAAAAACATACCAGCTAACAAATACCTTTCTAATCATTCGACCCCCACTCATCATCACAATGGTACTAAAACAGCGAATGTAAGATCCTCATCTTGCTATGGTTGCTAAAGAGCCACCTCTTAATTTTATCAAGGTTACTAAATATATACGTGCGAGAACGATTTTGAGCGCTTATTAAGTTACTTGATTCGATTATCGTGAGTTGCTTAGCAACTAATTTATCTACACGAACCTTTTACCCAAATGCTACCTTTATGTAATGGAGATCTTTTAATAATAACGCATTTTAGCTTACTACACAGAGGAGGTTAGGATATTACAGCATGTACTTAGCCGGGTATACAAACAGGTGCTCGTTGCCATAGTAACCAGTTAGTAACCAGTTAGAAGATAGTGTCATTACGTTGTAGAAAGGTGTTTAACATGTGGGTACAGCCAACAGAGAGACAGTAATTCAAACACAGAGTTTAGAAATCAGTCTGGTTGTAACCATTATTTCAAATAGAAGCCAGATTCAAATTTGTGGTTAGGAAATACTATTGCTACTACTACTACGAGGTCTGAATTAAGTCCGATCTACACCAGATAACCCCCTCCATCAGGGTTCGCAGTTCCTCTTTAGAGTTTGTCCCAACTTCCTTTAGTAACATAGACAAGCAGCTTTGTCTTGGACGGCCTGGCTGTACTCTATCAAGCAAAGGTTCCAAATTCCCATAAGACTAAATCACTGGCCAGTAGCTCAGGATGTCTGATGCATTGTCCCGCCATTTCGAATCTCCTGCTTCGTAACTTGACAGCCTTGGTAGGCTACCATACAAAGTAATATTGCTGATCTTGTCCTTCCATGGCAGTTACGAAACTCGAGAGACTGTGGGATACTGAAGGGAAAGGAAGCAGTTCTAACGAGCTCTTCTCAAACACAAGGATATATCTTGTGAACTTGGCTAGTATATATGAAGCATTTGATATGGAGTTGTAGAGGGAGTTATGTGCCTCGCCGGGCTAAAGTAGTGGATGACCTTGCTGTACGGCAAGTTAAACAAGGATCTGAAACTACTAGGTTCCAAACAGACTCAACTCTGCACCCGTGTCTATATGTTCATTATATGCAAGCCTCTTGATTTATACACAGCACCATACACATACATTTTCCCCGTCCAAAATTCTCTCTTGGAATAAGAAATCAAAAAATGGAATACTTTTCTGAATGAATGGACTGGGCGAAGAGGATAGCAAGTTGAGTATTACATGCCACAATATCAGCCGATTCATTTGATTGGTTGTCAATCTGCTGTTCTATAACAAGCCGACTGGTTAAAACGGCTAACACTACACTCCTTATATGGGCATCACGTGTCAAAACAGCAGAGTTCCGCCTCTTAGACCGTTCACAAGTCTATGAGTTGCTTATTCATGAAGTGATGCTATGAGAATCAGATACCCTGATACGGCTTGATGGCAAGTCCGGTAAGATAACTTCAAGACCAGATTAGAAGTGTAATGACGTTGTAGATTCAAGTTGTATTTCAGATAATGAAATGATCTTTTTCAACGCCCAATTCGCTCATCGCTCATCATGATTTCTTAATATCTCACTAAAAAATCATGCATTTGAGTTCTAAGTGGTTATGAATTAGACGACTTCTATATTTGACCATTTCGTTACCGCAATTTACGTCGATTTTTCGTCAAACAGAACTTTCCCTTCGACATTTTAAAATTTGTTCTGAATTAATAGCTGACGATCTTAAAGAAGTTATAACGTGCATTATTGCAAACTGCTTGTTAGTAAACCACGTGCTCAACAGGGCGTAGCAGGCCGTCACGTGGGCCATTTATTTGACCACGTGAAAATAATTATTAGGAATCTCCAGTCATGGTGCAACAATATCAAGTCTGCCGAGAAACGGAATAATCTTTTATGCAGATTAGCTGTGAAATTGAGCATTGTTTAACCCATCAGTTTCGAGATAGCTTCTTTACACAATTGCTAATGTAAGAGTCGCTAAAACCAAACTAATTTGGTAAATAGGCGAAGTAGCCACTAATCGGTATCACTCTTGCAATGAAATTCACATAAGCGGAGCGCGCTGTAGAATCTTACTAGAAAGACGACCTTTTTCTGCAGCCAGTGTTGACTGATGCGCGCGCGGCTTTTCGCCTCTCTAGCATTATTGGACGATTCGACTGGAGTTGTATACTTCATACTATTTTCATTTAGTCCTTAAGATAAAGACCAACAGTTGAAAACATGAGTTTTTATAGCACCAATTTCATCTTAGGAATTCCCACAACAAAGCCATATCTTTTAAACCGTCATACTTAATACTAACTAGCTATTAACCGGTCCAGGTGGCTTTCTCTTTGTATTAATGAAAGAGAGCATTGTATTTCTTGTTAAAGAAATAAAACAATTCCATTAAAGTAGATGAAATTCGAACAGAATCTACCAACAGAAAACATTGAATCAATTATACCCCTACAAAACGATAAATAAATAAAAGCACTGCTTATTGAACGAATATTGCAGAATCCTTGTTAAAAATGCACTCATTACTGAACGAACATATGGTCTCCCCAAAACATCTGCCACAACTTCAATCTTTATAATAATATTAACATAATGACCAGGGTCTCCTTTATACTAGAGATTTATGTAAAAGAAAACCAAACTATCTAATTCTGTAAATCTAACAAAAATCTGAATTCTCAAATATATTTATATATGAATATCAACTGTTGTATAATTTCAGTCCAAAAAGCATTAGTTCACTTCTCTTTCCAAACATAGAGCAATGCCCATACCCCCACCGATACACAGAGAAGCAACGCCCCGTTTTAGTCCCAATCTAGCTAGACTGTACAGAAGTGTTATCACGATCCTGTTTCCAGATACTCCGACGGGGTGCCCTGAGAGAATATTCAATTATAATCACCTGAAGTTTAAGAAGGAAGGTTTGATTTAGGAGAAATTATTTCAACGAAAATGTTATAAACTATCCCCCCCCCCCCCTCCGCTCCCCCTCCCAACCATCACCCACCTAAAGCAATAGCACCTCCGTTGATGTTAACTTTGGTAACAGGGATTCCAAGTTCTTTAACAACAGCTACAGATTGAGCAGCAAACGCCTCGTTTATCTCAAACAGATCAACATCTTCCAGTCGCCAACCTGCCTAAAGTGAGCGTTGTTTTTATTATCATTAACAGTTTGATTTTTTAATCGAGTACACAAAACTGGGAAAACTATTATTAATCTCTTATTTCGCCCCCCCCCCCCCCCCATCCTTATCTCTGTTCCTCGGACACCGCTATAATTACTCCAGTTACCTTTTCAATAGCAGCTCGCACAGCAGGAACAGGTCCCATTCCCATGAAGGCGGGATCACAACCCACCATGGCGGAGGAGACGATGTATCCCAGAGTCTCCGCACCACGTGATGACGTCAGATCACGTGACATAAGAACACATGCCGATCCTCCTGATGAAATACAGTTATTACAGGACAAGTTCAGGTAAAGGGAGAGGGCCTGTTAAATGGGTCTAATTCACAATTTCACAGTCGACATTATTTTATAATACGTTTTATAAACTTATTAGATGTTTGCCCATTTGTTTAACGAGCACACTTCTGAAGGGTAATTCAAATGTTCAGTAATTCGTAAACATTTGCGAACTACTAACCGTCATTAATACTGGAGCAGTTCCCAGGGGTAACAGTGCCATCCGTTTTAAAGCAGGGTCTCAGTTTTTTAAGTCCATCAAGTGTAGTCTCTCTGGGGTGCTCGTCTTTTTCCATCATGGTAGTTGCCTGCAACCAAAAAACTTGTTACTCTTACGAAGACACAATTAATCCTCGCTTGGTTCTTATGACAAATCGAAGTGTACAATGCTATTTGTGGGTTGTTCTCTTTAATTAAAATACCTTGCGAGTCGTGATTTTGACAGGAACTATCTCATCAGAAAAGATGCCGTTATTCATTGCCTCGTTTGCTCTGGTTTGGGATAAGGCAGCAAACGTGTCCTGGAATACGGGGACATCATAACGAACCGGTGAAAATTGTTCTGACCTGTTTGTATCTTAATCGTTCATTAGAAATATGTAGGTGTAGGTAAGTGAGGATGCATACATGAGTTGGGTTTATGTACGTTGGATTTGTGCACGCCTTGGGTGATACAATCTGCTACTTGACAGATTGTGACCTGTTAGGTTTGCTGGGTGTTTTCTTTAGGCTCTTTTTTGACTGCCACAAAGTGTAGATCTTTGCAACAGCTTCGAAAGGCCGCGTCGCATTGGACGGCATGTAAAAAATTATTCAAAGTTCACGAGAAAATATTTCCTTGTGTTTGAGTAAAGTCACCTGATCATGTCTGGAAATCTCATACTTTTCAGCAACATTCTCAGCAGTAATACCCATGTGGTATTGATTGAAAGGACAGGTCAACGCATCGTGCACCATCGAATCCTGAAGAAGACTAGATTGTAACCACAAGTTCTTTTCTTGGTAAATTTATCTATTTCCAGTTTGCTATATCATTGTATATTCTAGTATTCAACAATTGTTCATGTTTTTAACGGAAACATAGCAAGATAAACAAATTGTAATGGAAATCACCTTACATTCAGTATTCCCCATAGGTTTAGGAGATCTGATTTGCATTAAATGAGGAGCTCTACTCATACTTTCCTGTCCTCCTGCCACGACGATATCTGAAACGATCACGTGAGTTAATTAACCGTTATTTGGCGGTTCAAAAGTGCACGTCTTAAAGTAGGAGTACAAAGTTCTGGAGTAAATTAATTAATGGACGTTGTGCGCAAAACGTCGAAAAAAAATTCATTAAATACAACAAACAAAACAAACCGTTAGGATTGAGCAGAATATGATTGTGAGCGTTGACAATAGCTACCATGCCGCTACCACACACCATGTTAACGTTAAAAGAGGGAACACTGTGAGGAATGCCAGCCCTCACCGCTGCCTGACGAGCCGGACACTGTCCTGCAGAGGGGTGTCAACTTTAGGGCCCACTTTATATCACTCAGTCACCGTGGAAACGTTATGTAAACAGATGAGGTGGAAAATAATATCATTTCAGTATCTCGTGGTCTCCTCTAAAGAAGAAACATGATAAAACCAACCTTCACCAGCATAGAGGACCTGTCCCATTACACAGAGGCCCACCTCGGTGGGCTCCACTCGAGCTCTGCTCAGAGCACCAGATATGGCAATTCCTCCCAACTCTGCCGGACTAATACTGCTCAAGGACTTGTTGAAGTCTCCTATGGGGGTACGGCATCCTGACACAATCGCTACTCCTGACATATCTACTGATGAGATAAGGGAGTAAGGATAGACGGAATCAGCACGAATTAAATATCGCCACAGCACAAGAAAATCATAAGTTTGTATATAGGACACCAATGCTAAGAGGATAAGTGAGGGTTCACATTTATGTAGGAAATTGTACTGCGGGGGTGGATGTTTGTATCTTGGCAGATTGAGAAGTACATCGAGTTATATAATTCTCTGAATCAATAAAACATCTGAGGTAACAAATTTAGATGTGATCACAATCAAATTATCTCTAAACTAGATACGAAGTTTGATGAATAAGTTAGAAACGAAAGGTGGGGAAACTAAGATAACCGTATGTACAATCTCCGATGACACCACGAATTTTAAAACCTAAATTATGTTCCGATCCCGTACTGTCACTTTACAATTAAGAGTCTCTTGTCAGGCTCAATCCTGTACCAAAAAGTAGCTGTGGTCATTATTCCTTGCGGATGAGCCGAGGATGAGCTCCGAGGGCGGTGCCGAGGGGGAGTGCTGGAGGGACCACGTGACCGTTACCAACCCACTCTCCAGTTCTCCACCAGTACTCCCACTTCTGGAAATACACATCCTCGTTTACCTGAAAGAGGGGGGTGAGCTTTAAATGATATGTGAGATTGGGGAAACGAAAATGAAACACGTGTTAAATTTGACCTAAGAAGGATGATATGAAAGTTCAAAGTTTTGGAGAGTCAAAAATCAAAGATGAAAGCTTGTTCTATAACTAGTAAAAACTGATGAACTTTATACTAACAGAGATTCTTTCTTTCCTAGCTTCGTGGTCAAAGTTTCCCCAGTACTTCATCCACCAAATATGATGTTTGTAGATACCGTAGTAAGCAAAAAGAGCGCCACTGATGCTGGCAGCTCCTAGAGAAAGTGCGATACCTGACGATAGATATCATTACTAAATACATTCGTTAAATCCATCCGTTACAAGTGGCATTAATTTACACTTTAAACAATAATTTTTCCTTATTATGTTATTTTCCCTTTAAAGAATTGAGAACGCACAGAGTAATACAGCAAGTGTAATACAGTAAATCAACAGACCTTTTGCCAAGTGCTTTTCATGACGACCTTTCATAACAGGACGCGGAATCTTTGCAGATTCTGCTACCGCGGACGACATACCTTATCTGAGATTTGTCAGGTTAGGCACAGTTTAGAGTATAGACCAGATTCAGGATCTACACCTCTACAATAACAATTAGGGGATCATCAACGTCCATTTTTATGATTTTATGATTCTCTGTTGTATGTTGTAAAGGTCGAATTTCGAATTTGTCACGAAAATGTTGTTGCGAAAACGACGGAAATTTTAAATACATATAAATTGTCGAATGTCAAATTGTCAATGCACCCCTTTGAAGTGACAAGCCATGTATTTGAAACGGTTTCAAGCTAGTTTGACTGTTAATTAAAAAACTTTCTGATGAAACAATATTCAACAATTTCTGAAATATCTAAACCCAAGTTATCAATCACGTCTTTAAGGGGGCATACACCAAATCTGTCCAGACCAAATGACCTCATAGGCAGTTCAGTGACCTTCTAGCGCACCGTTTCCACACCAAAAAAAATTATTTTGAGAATACCCATTTTTGTAATCGACCATTTCCTGGTTAAGAGTGCATTTTCGGAAAAAATTATTTTGTGGTTGAGACGCTATAAGTTAATCATTTCTTGCGGTATCGGGTTTAAATTTTGCTCGCCGTTTATTCACATCTATTTCAAGGTGTGTGTAAAATCTTGATATCGTATCTAAAAAGGCTGGTGTGTTATGAATTTTTAAAGTCAAAAAGCTAAAATTGTCCTTTTCAGGCTTATTTTAACAAAAAGTCAGTCAGGGAAGATCGGATTATTTGATGCTTGACATCAAATTGTTCTCTGAATTCTGGCGCAGTTTTTGATGCCCTCAAAAATGTTTTTACTCATTCACCTTCTGATCTATTGGACCTCAAAGCCAAACAACAAATTTAGGCACATTTTTCGTTTTTAATATTTACCGATTTTTCCAAAATTTCGATAGGAATGTGCTAGTGACTTTTTGAAGGGTGAAAAATAACCGCAACTAGCACATTTATATATGAGTTATGAACAAAAAAACACCCTAAAATGCTTCCCTTTGAAGTTATGGGAGAAAATGTGATTTTTTATCTGCAAAGCCAAAAAATCACATTTTCTCCCATAACTTCAAAGGGAAGCATTTTATGGTGTTTTTTTGTTCATAACTCATATATAAATGTGCTAGTTGCGGTTATTTTGCACCCTTCAAAAAGTCACTAGCACATTCCTATCAAAATTTTGGAAAAATCGGTAAATATTAAAAACAAAAAATGTGTCTTAATTTGTTGTTTGGCTTTGAGGTCCAATAGATCAGAAGGTGAATGAGTAAAAACATTTTTGAGGGCATCAAAAACTGCGCCAGAATTCAGAGAACAATTTGATGTCAAGCATCAAATAATCCGATCTTCCCTGACTGACTTTTTGTTAAAATAAGCCTGAAAAGGACAATTTTAGCTTTTTGACTTTAAAAATTCATAACACACCAGCCTTTTTAGATACGATATCAAGATTTTACACACACCTTGAAATAGATGTGAATAAACGGCGAGCAAAATTTAAACCCGATACCGCAAGAAATGATTAACTTATAGCGTCTCAACCACAAAATAATTTTTTCCGAAAATGCACTCTTAACCAGGAAATGGTCGATTACAAAAATGGGTATTCTCAAAATAATTTTTTTTGGTGTGGAAACGGTGCGCTAGAAGGTCACTGAACTGCCTATGAGGTCATTTGGTCTGGACGGCACAAACCACTGTTTTGGTGTATGCCCCCTTAAGTATATAATCATTCGCCCTAAAAATAACATGCCAGATAAAACAAGTAATTTAACCAAGACTCAACAATGTGAAGAATAAAACGGAATTCTTAAGAACAATTACAATAATTAAAAATTCAAAAGTTGGTTCTTGCCCCAAGCAGGACGGGCCACGCTTTCCTCAGAAACAGCTCTAATAGTAATGAACTCATTGACACAATCATCCACCTTATATAACTCTCTTAACTCCTGAATCGCTCGTTCCTCAATCTGTATAACTTCTAGTGGCCTAGAGAAGGACTTGGAAAGAATATTTTTTGAAGATTCTTGTTCAGCTTCCATGATAGATCGCAAACTATGAACCTGGCGGTCTGTCGTGAAATCGAAAGTTTCTGACTTGACTCTGGGTTCGGGTGTGCTCTGCTTCAGAGGCGATTTAGGGTTTGAAGTATGGTGAGCTGGAGACAGGCTCTTCGCAGTTTTCCCGGGAGAGGGGTTTCTCAGTTTGAAACCAGGAGAACCGTTCTCGGTGGTCATAATGTCCTTCAGTGAGACGGCTGGAGTACCCGGAACAGTACCCCACGGCGCACTGGACGGTCTTGAAATTTCTCTGTTTTTGTCAAGTTTTCCAGCTTTTGCAAACGGTTTCTGGGCTTCTAACTTGGCTTTATCTCTTTGCGCTTCCTTGTTCTTCTTTTGCAACTGTTTCTCACGTTTTTCTTCCTCAATGATCTCACTGAGAGAACGGTTAAGTTTTGGAGGACCACTGTTAGATACACCCCATGATCGAGATGTTTGGTTACTGTTAGATTCACCCCATGATCGAGATGTCTGGTTATTTTGGACAGACGGAGGTGTTCCGGCTGGAGTCAGTGAAGGATTTCCAGCCTGTTGTTTCGGAGCTTCAGAAACAACTGCAACAGTTTTAAGCATTTTATCATTTAGTTTCCTGTTGATGTTGACTTCTAAAGGAGTTATGTGCGGAACAACGAATTCCTGAGGACTTGTTGAGGTTGAAGGAAATTGGGGGGATGAACTCGATATTACCACTTCAGAAGTTGGAATAACATTCGGAGGCTGATCTAAAACGAAGTTTAACAATTCTCCTTCTTCACCATCGCTCACATACTCATCAAGTCGATCAGGTAACCCTTTGATTGGAGTCTTCACGACAGGCTCAACCACCTCCACCGGTCTGATAACCTCCACCATACATTTCAAATACTCCTTCACACTGTAATCTTTATTAGGAGATCTCGTGAGATGAAACAAGACGACTTCTTTATAAACGTTGTCAAGTTGCTCAAGGATTTCCTCTTCTAAGCTGTCCAACAAACGATGTTCCAAGTAGAAAGGCAAGTTCATGGCTATTATGTGGAGGCAGACAGCACGCAAATTGTGGGCGTTGTAATCGTTAGCTGTTCGTAGGATATGAATTATATTTTCTTCCGTTATAAATGCGACTATAGAGACTTCGCAAAAAGACTTCAATCTACTCACCAAATATTGATCTGACAATCGCAGAAGTAGCATCAAACTTTCGAAGGAGCTCTTTTGAGGAAACGTGTCCGTGTAAATGTAATAGATGAAATCGCTGAGTGTTCTCTTGTTAGAATTAACAGGGATTTCTTGGTTCAAGCTCACAGCCCCCCATCTGGAGTTAACCATGAAGTGTGTCATGAAATAATCTACCCTAGCAGCTAAAATAAACCGATGACACTGAAACTTAATCCCCTCCTCGGACACTAACACCACGTCGCACAAATCTCTGATGGAGTTCCTTTCTATTTTATCGCATCGGCTCACATTAACTAATCCGCCTAGAAGTAGAGGATGTTTGGTTTCGCCTTTAACTGGCATAGTGATCATGTAAATTATCTCCAGCATAGATGTCACAATCTCATCAGTAAGAGCGAGCTCTATGTAGGAATTACCAGATGTCTCAGCACTTTCCACCAGCATTGCCAGTTTCTCAGACGCATTAGCAAGAAGAGCTTTATGAGCAGATATCTGTTTGCCAGACTTACAATAGATGGTGATGTCAGTTTCGTAGATTTCGTCGTTGTCGTACAAAGCAGAAACATCTGAGGTAAAGCTCGAGGATTCTACACTAGGGACAAAATCAAGGGTGGAGATTCTGTCCTGGACAATGCATGCGTTCACCTGACCAGAACCGTTGCACACAATTTTTGTGCCGTTATGAAGACCGGTTTTTTTAACTAGCTTGATGGGTCGTAACATTTGGAGTGATTCTTTTTTCTTGGTGTTGGCTGATGACCATGTTTTGTGAGAATGGTCCCTCCTTATTTCCTTGTCTGATTTTAAAGTGGGATATGGGTCACATGTGAACACCTCTCCGTTCGTAGTGAGAAGGAGGAGAGAACCACTCCCCACAGCGATATCAGAGACCAGAAACTTCTCCATATACACATCCCAGTGATAGAGCAGCACGTTTTTAAACATCTCCGGAATGCAGCAGAATACCAGCCCGTTTGTATCTAGAATACTGATGAGAAGCGGTTTCGATTTTTTGTTTGTTGTCTCCAATGTTGGTTGCCTGGCCAGGCTTCCGCCAGTTACTCGAATTTTCTTCGTTTTAACAGACAGATAAGATTGGCCTTGACTAGCATCAAAGTTTAACACTTTCGAGTGATCAAACCTATTCAAGGTTGCTACTTTCTTAATGTCAAATTGATTACAAACAAAGATGGCACCGTTTTCGAATCCTACCACAGTGGTTGCAGCACTAGCATGAACATGCGCTATCTTCCCGAGATTGTCACCTGGCTTGTGACGTAATCTCGTCACTGTTCTAGGGACTATCTGGTACTCTTCCTCTGAAAACATGTGCCCGATCTGACCTCCGTTAAAACCAAAAGTGTAAATCTGATCTGCTGCTACTAGAATGCTGTGATATTTGGCAGCTTTAACTGTGATAATTTTATCGAAAGTGAAGGAAGCTCTGACGATTTGAGGTCTAAGAAGGTTTTTAACTTCGGGAATTCCAAGAACCCGGTGGGTGTTTATGCCCCAGCTATAAACCTTACCATCCGAAGACAAGGCCAGAGAGTGGTCGTTGGAGCATGATATCTTCACAATATTTTTAAGGCCGGGAATTAACGTTGGCTCGAGGAATGTTTGCTCAGAACCCAAACCGAGTCTACCTCCTTGACCATACCCACAGGAATAAACATTCCCTGCCTTATCTAAAAAAAGCGTGTGATACTTCCCAAAGTTCACATTGCAGATCGACGATGAGAATTTATCACGGTTGAAACGTTTAACTTTTTCAGGTACCTTCAAATTACCGTCATGGTTGTGTCCCAAATTGTAATTACAATTCGTACCCCACGTAAGAACGTTTAGGCTCTTGCTCTCGGGGACAAATCCGTTTTTAAATTGATTCCAAACAGCGATATCAAGAGGAGTAAAACCATCTATAGCGGGAGTTGACAAAGAGGCACCATACTGTAGCAACTTCACAGCACAATTTATGTTCCCATAAGAAATAGCATCGTGTAACGCAGTGTACTTAGACTCTAGATCTTGTGCCTCCAGCGTGTAAAGGGTATCTAGATTCAGGTTCATCAGTTTCAGAATGTCGCACAGCAGGGCGGCGTGCCCCTCTTTGCAGATTTGATGTACTATGTTGAAACCTGCGCAAACGTTTACTCAACCGCCCAGTTATTGTCTATGTAATTTACAAAATTAATTTAAGCTTATGGAAACTGGTGACTTCTTAGACGATGAAAGTTAACCAAACCATATTAAAAGCGTCCCCATCGACTTAGTTTTTGGAGAAGCCACGTATATATTTTTAAAAATGTATAATCAAGTGATAGCACGCCACTGAGTAAATTAATACAATCCTGTATGTAACCTGGAGTGTTGTCTTGGAATATTTCCGACAGAACATGGGAGTGACTGAGCAAGTATCTTGCTTGTTCCGCAGTTAGGACTGAAAGATCTTCTATCACATCGATCGAACCTTCTGGCAAAATCTTGACACTTCTCGGTTCCGTTTCGGATAAACTGCGCGACGATGTCTTCTTCCGACGTCCCATGGTCACCCTGAAAGCTGTCTTCAGTACTTTAATAATATCGAATATTTTGATTTAAGTGTACGAAATCGAGAAGAAAACTACGTTACGGACTTTGCGCGCATATATTCTATGGTAAGAATTTAGATAATAGTGGACTTATTCTCCTTCTGCTAGGTAAATGTCGCGGCGCCTTACAAAAACCAAACAAAGTCGTGCGACCGATTTCCCTATGGCACATTCTGAAATTGTTATTCAAGTTTTTTACTGGACGAAATGAAAAACTTTCGAAATACGACTAACCGTGTTGCAAAACGTCTAAATCACATCCTTGGGCAGTTTATCTGATTAACATAGATTCCTGGTGCGTTTCTCCTTACATAGTGCCTTAGCTACAACAAAATATTTAAGTTATGGAAAACAGTGTTAGAAAACTGAATAGTGCATAATAGCATGGCAGGAATTCTCCAGAATACAATTCAATTGATATCGTGAATTTATTAGCAAAATACAGAAAAAAATGACCTAACAATCAAAATATTTCGAATTACAAATATTGTCCATCTATAGATGTGGATTCTTGTGGGGAGGTGATTTGTTTACTTTTACATGGAGGCTCTGCTCAGCAGGAGAAAGAGGTGATTCACATTTTGTATTATGGAACGCTTATAACTCCTTCTTGTTGCACGAGAAATCGATTTAGCTGGGTTTCAGGACTAGGTGTTTATATGAAACCTAGTTAAATCGATTTCTCGTGCAATTTTAGGTCAAGAACAGTCATAAAAATGAGTTAATAAGAAGGTCGATTTCTCGGTTATTTGTAAGCTTTCGTTCAGAAAATAATTCGGGACCTTCAAAGGGGGTAACAAGAAGGAATTACATAAGCGTTCCATAATACAAAATATGTATCACCTCTGTATCCTGCTGAGCAGAGCCTCCATGTAAAAGTAAACAAATCACCTCCCCACGAGAATCCGCATCTATTAAACTAGTGATTTAAAAAAGCAGATATGAAACTAAAAATGAAGAATATTAGCTCCCGTTAATTTTAAGCAAATTGTAGGTTTTAATGTTTACCAACTAGAGCAGAGTTTTATTTTTGTCCAGCAAGAGACTAAGGAAAAAAGATTATGCGCAGTGCAGAGACACGACTTAAAGATCAACACAGTCCTATTAGTGTGAGCAATATCTCTTATAAAATTCGCTTTCACAAACACGGCTATGAGAAAAAGAAAAAAATCTCGGATCATACAAATAATTTAGTTACAAATCCCTCAAATTGTCACTGAGGGTCACCGTTTGGTGGCGGTGATAAAGTGTTCGCAAAGTCGTGTAATGTTTGCAACTGTAGCTCAGTGTACTTAACGTGAGGTCGTTTCTCAGTGACAAACTTAACTCCCTCCTCCACTGTCTTACCATACCTGGGATACAATGTTAGGAGATAGTGTCATATCACAAAGAGGGATATCAATTACATTTCCTGTTACACTGAGTGTTTGTAATGAGACTGCAGAACCACAGACAGTGGGCCCCCATATCCGGAGATATTCACCGGCGACTTACTTCTGCATGACGTAGGCTGTAACCATTGTAGCACTTCTGCTCCTCCCTGCTTTACAATGAACATATGTTCTCTGTCCTAGCTCCGCCTTAGCTTTTATCAGCTCAATTCCCTGCAATAATTCTCTTGATAGAATGTTAGCCGCTAACAAACAGTCAGCTGATTGATTTCGTATACATTTGCATTCCGATTTCGATTTGCAGAAACACATATCAGTGAGAAATAATAAAAATCTCTGCCAATTGACGGACAGGCACACTGTGCGGGAGTAAAATAATTAAAGAAGTAGTACCATTCAGCCATTTACCTCCCACATTTGACTGACAGTGGGAGTTGATATGAAATCGGGGATATCTATTTTAAAGTGCTCCACGCCCAGTTCCTGCCATTCTTCTGTCGGTGTAGTCACGTACTGACGCTCGTACCTACATTTAGTTTATTGTTAATTAACTTAATGATCTGGTTGAATAAAACATATAACAGTACCTCCAGAGAGGGTACCTCCAGAGAGGGTACCTCCAGAGAGGGTACCTCCAGAGAGGGTACCTCCAGAGAGGGTACCTCCAGAGAGGGTACCTCCAGAGAGGGTACCTCCAGAGAGGGTACCTCCAGAGAGGGTACCTCCAGAGAGGGTACCTCCAGAGAGGGTACCTCCAGAGAGGGTACCTCCAGAGAGGGTACCTCCAGAGAGGGTACCTCCAGAGAGGGTACCTCCAGAGAGGGTACCTCCAGAGAGGGTACCTCCAGAGAGGGTACCTCCAGAGAGGGTACCTCCAGAGAGGGTACCTCCAGAGAGGGTACCTCCAGAGAGGGTTCCTCCAGAGAGGGTACCTCCAGAGAGGGTACCTCCAGAGAGGGTACCTCCAGAGAGGGTACCTCCAGAGAGGGTTCCTCCAGAGAGGGTACCTCCAGAGAGGGTACCTCCAGAGAGGGTACCTCCAGAGAGGGTACCTCCAGAGAGGGTACCTAACATGATGCGAACCCTGACAGATCAAAGTCAGAATTCATGACTATTGGAAGGGAAGTACAGGTGTCAGCAAATTTCTAAAGAATTGGTGAGCAAATAGCAAAGAGGCTCAAATGGAAAATTCACATCTGTCAAAAAAATATAAAAATAGTTAAATCTTCAATATCTATGAACTGTTCTCTTCTTGACACAAAAGATACGGACTCTTAAAATCGTCAGACCGTTTGATCAAGTTTTTTTATACTGGTAATGATGTCAATTGTGTCGTACCATTTAATTTCAATAAAAACTCACGGCATATTGAGAGAAATAATCGCCCCGACATTTTCCTCCTGTACAAGCTTCTCTTTTAGAAATGAGAAAGGAAGAGCACCCAAAATCACGTGACTGTCTATGTAATTGTACCTGAGAGATAACTTTAGGATTGATTGATTAATTTATTGACTACAGTTATTTAATAACAAATAATTGCCAGGAAAATATTCGAGGAACTATTTGATCGACAAAATATCACCGTAATAAGATCAGTAATGATGATCAATACACAGTGTTGTGTAAAGGTAACCAAGGTAACCAAGGTAACCAAGGTAACTAAGGTAACTAAGGTAACTAAGATTACCAAGGTAACCAATGTAACCAAGGTAACCAAGATTACCAAGGTAACCAAGATTACCAAGGTAACCAAGATTACCAAGGTAACCAAGGTAACCAAGATTACCAAGGTAACTAAGGTAACTAAGATAACCAAGGTAACGTACCAATTCCGACTAGTGAGCGCCCAAGCACCCACATTGTAAGTAAGGGTGGTGTACAGTACTGTGTTGTTTAGCGTACTGTACGCCGCGTTACTCAGCATTGACCACATATCTGCACTTCACACTCTTAGCATCGCTTGTAGATATTATACTCGAGATTTGATATTTGTTAGGCTAGTCACATCCTGCTACGGAATATTCTGTCAAATAAAGTAGTAGAAGGGAATGTATGAAGGCCCGCCATCAAGTGACTCCCAGCCACTCACAGCACGCCCCCAGGTCACGTGACAGCACGTCACGTGACAGATCACATGTCATGTAACCACGTGACAAGCTCGTCAATCAAATGTCAAGGTCACGTGACATTTGATTGACCAATGAGGAGCCAGAACGTCATGACGAATCAATCAATAATCCCGACTAAAGGATCTAAAGTCTGATTAAACGGTTGCCAAGCAGGTTCCTGTTATTTGATTACCGGGCACGTGTTTAGCTTAAGCATCATGTGACATGAATGTTATTGAACCTCGAGATCACGTGACAGGAGTCACTTGATTACCCGTCAGAACGTCATGATGAATAATTCAATAATCCTGTCTAAAGGATCTAAAGTCAGATTAAACGGTTGCCAAGCAGGTTCCTGTTATTTGATTACTGGTCAAATGATTCTTCACGATTTACCCCGGTCCAGTCACCACTCCAAATAAGCAGAGGGTGACATAACGAAATGTGGTGTAGGGTTACCATCGCTCGACCTCCTGGAAATTACAAGTCTTATCATCAATTTTCTGACATTTAAGCAATAGCTACAGTATCTGAACCACATTTTCACCCTTTAAGATATAACAACTGTTAGGTAGCCTAGTGGTTAGAACATCCGTCTTCTGCACAAAAGGTTCAGGGTTCAAAGTCGAGTCTAGGGAGTAGCTAAGGCTCCATACCATTCACTATTATTAACTATTAAATTTGCTTGTTATAAATTTGATAAATTTCGAGAGACAAATAAAACTACCGTTTAATTGATAATTTGTTGTTGTCAACATTATAATCATAAATTGAAATCATCAAGAGTAAGATTGGGTACATGAATCATTGTATAACAGTTGCACGTTAATGGTGTTCTAGTACAGGTAGTTAGTTCCACCAACTACTTATTCAGATAAAGTTTGAGAATCTTATCGACAATAGTTGTGTTTTCGTTCATCAGTTTGTTTACATCAGATAGACTTGTAGTGGTGATAACTGCATCCAATAGAGATCGTTCTTCCAAACTTAAAATATCTGTTAGGTCTTCTCCGCTGTCAATTAAACGCTGCTTCAAGACAACAAACAATTCGGTTTTCATCATGTATGAGAATAAAATGTCAAAACATTTATTTTGCTCTTTACACAATTTACTTTGTAACAGGACGTCTAGAGATTTAAGTAAACTCGATATCTTTTTACTGTTTGGTTGTTTGATTGGTACTCCTTTCCGCTTGCCTACGTGTTGCCAGTCAGTATCAGATTCTAACTCTTTAGCATTATATTCTTTGTTGGACTCATCATCGCTACTTGTTACACCACTAAATTCATCATCACCACTACCTGGTACATCAGAGTTAGAACCACCTTGCTGAGATTCTTCAGAAACTATTGTATCAGCATCTGAACATACAGAATCAGGACCCTCCATTTTGACATCAGTCACATCTGAGTTAGCTTTTGACAGCGGCAGTAAAATTGCAGAACTTTCATCTGACTCTCGGTTCTCTCGATGATACCTACTAATGTGTGAGGACAGACTATATTTATTGGCAAAAGACTTGTCACAGAATGAGCAGGTTACAGAATTCATAACTGCAGTACAAACGTTTTATAATGCTATGCAACAACCATTATATAGCAATAATCGCATAAAATCGCAAATAATCGCATATAATCGCATATAATAGCATATAATGGCATAAAATTGCAAATAATCGCATATAATTGCAAAATAATTCCACAAAATAGCATATAATAGCATATAATCGCATATAATCGATAATAATATAATTATATATATTTAATCACATATATAATCACGTATATTATCTCTTAAAATCACATTTTATTATTTATACTCGCAAATAATTGCATATAATTGCAAATAATCGCATATAGTAGCAGGGTGAATATGATCCAACTTACGCATTCAACCTATTAAAGATCTTTTCAAAGATTTATTTTCATGCTGATTGCCAAGCATCATCCTGGAGATGGAACTGTAACTCTTGAGTCTACCAAAGACTGCACCCAACATGTAGGAATACTTCCTAGTGGGGACATTAAAGGACCACACCAGACAGGACAAGGAGATCATGGTAAATTCTACGTCAACTAGTCAGACGGAGATCATCTTCGAGATCTATCACTTTCTGGATTATCATTCATAACCAGTAGTCAGCGCACCATTGATTTCTGCTTTCAAATGATAACTGCTAATACTCTTGTCGATTTTATTGCACAGAAACCAGCATTTGACCGGGACCGGGACCGGGAATAGCTCAAAATTGTCAATCCCGGTACCGGGATCCCCGGTACCGGGAATCCCGGTCGATTACTGGTGCATGCAGCTGGCCAGGTTTAGGTATCAGGTGATTTTTCCTGCAATTTGGTAGTTGTGAAACATCACCTTGGATTTCTGTTGTCACAAAACGTACCTTTTTAGACCTTTTCTCAAAGCATATAATAGCATATAATAGCATATAATCGCATATAATAGCATATAATAGCATATAATAGCATATAATAGCATATAATAGCATATAATCGCATATAATCGCATGTAATATCATTCGATCACATATATAATCCATTGGGTGGGCGAAAATTGTCCCCCGATAATTGACCCCTCGATAATTGACCCCTCGACAATTGACCCCCCCCCCCCCCCCGACAATGTAACTCAATACAACATCACCTCATACCATACTCCTCACGGTTCTCTTGATCTAGGAAGAATGCACCTTTGTTGTGGTGTGCCGCACTCCACATGGACAAATCTCACGATACTCTTTATCTAGAAAGGAGGTACTTTTGTTGTGATGTGCCACACTCCACATGAACAAATCCGCTAAATACTGAATAAATGCCGAATACTGAATGAATACTGAATGAATACTAAATGAATACTGAATGGATACTGAATGAATACTGAATGAATACTGAATGAATACTGAATGAATACTGAATGAATACTGAATGAATACTGAATGAATACTGAATGAATACTGAATGAATACTGAATGAATACTGAAAATAATCGCAAATAATAGCATATAATATCATATAATATCATATAATAGCATATAATAGCATATAATAGCATATAATAGCATATAATTGCATATAATAGCATATAATAATAACATACAATCGCATTCGGAGACTCAAGAATTACAGTTCAATCGCCAGCATATAATTGCACATATAATAGCATATAATATCATATAATCGCATATAATAGCATTATATAATATCATATAGAGAGACTCAAGAATTACAGTTCAATCGCCAGCATATAATTGCATATAATAGCATATAATATCATATAATCGCATATAATAGCATTATATAATATCATATAATCGCATATGATAGCTTATAATAGCATATAATAGCATATATAATCGCATTCGGTAGACTCAAGAGTTATAGTTCCATCTCCAACATCTAACTAATAATCCCAGAATGTGTGTTTTCTGTCTGTCTGTCTGTCTGTTTGTAATTTCCGAGCGGCTTAATCAAGAAAACGGTAAGAGTTGCGGGACTGATTTTTTCGGTAAAGTGCCGACAAAACTCTGACGAAGTTAAATGATAAAGGTTTTTTAAATCGGTCGTTGGTAAGTGGTTTAATTGATGATTTTGTACCATAAATGTTACATAAAATGGCTTGAGCACAACGGTAAGAGTTACGGGGCTCGCATATGTAGCTGCATAATTAGTGTAATTGAGTTACCCGTGTAAGATTCGCTGTCTATACTATAATCTTATAATCTTATTAGGGGAGGGGGCACTGTTTGGACTGCAGAGAGAGAGTTCATACTTTCATACGACAATGTTATGCGTGTTCACAAATATGATAGGCGGGTGTGGTGTTAAGGGTTGATTTCTATTGATTATTGTTTAAGATACTATTACTATTGTTTAAGATACCATTGGATACGTGAGGGCACTCCGAATAGAATTGCTCACCTAATGCAGGTTTTGACTCAACGGGTGAATTATCCTACCCTTTTTAACTGCGGCAGTGAAATCCCGGCCGAAGGCCGGGTTACACTAGTATATTCATATAATCGCATATAATAGCATATAATATTTTATAATCGCATTTAAATGAATACCAATGGTCGTTACGTTTAAATAGATAAAATTAAATGTTTTAAAAGAGCGATCCATCTGGAGAAGTAGGCTAGGCGGGATTTGAACCCGCATTGTCCTGCATAGGAAAGTTGCCGTTAACTCACTAACCTGAGGCTCCAGATGGACCGCTGTTAAAATGAAAATATGAACATGTTTAACAAGATCGTTACGAATATCACGTGACGGTTGCTATTATAACGTACTTGCTTCTTATTGGTCAATTAACTTGTCACGTAACCTTGACATTTCATTTACGAGCTTGTCAGTTTAAAATAATACATTATAGTTATAAATGGCTATGTGGCACAGTTCTTTAGTCTGCCTGCTTGTGAAATGTCTCGCATTCACAGGGTCCCGGGTTCGATTCCCGTCTGTGCCACTAGCTATGGGGAGAGCATCTGAATTTTCCAAGAATCTATTCATGTGGAGTGTGGCACACCACAACAAAGGTGCATTCTTCCTATATCAAGAGAACCGTGAGGAGTATGGTATGAGGTGATGTTGTATTGAGTTACATTGTCGGGGGGGTCAATTGTCGAGGGGTCAATTGTCGAGGGGTCAATTATCGGGGGGTCAATTGTCGGGGGACAATTTTCGCCCACCCAATGGATTATATATGTGATCTCGAATGATATTACATGCGATTATATGCGATTATATGCTATTATATGCTATTATATGCTATTATATGCTATTATATGCTATTATATGCGATTATATGCTATTATATGCTATTATATGCTTTGAGAAAAGGTCTAAAAAGGTACGTTTTGTGACAACAGAAATCCAAGGTGATGTTTCACAACTACCAAATTGCAGGAAAAATCACCTGATACCTAAACCTGGCCAGCTGCATGCACCAGTAATCGACCGGGATTCCCGGTACCGGGATTGACAATTTTGAGCTATTCCCGGTCCCGGTCCCGGTCAAATGCTGGTTTCTGTGCAATAAAATCGACAAGAGTATTAGCAGTTATCATTTGAAAGCAGAAATCAATGGTGCGCTGACTACTGGTTATGAATGATAATCCAGAAAGTGATAGATCTCGAAGATGATCTCCGTCTGACTAGTTGACGTAGAATTTACCATGATCTCCTTGTCCTGTCTGGTGTGGTCCTTTAATGTCCCCACTAGGAAGTATTCCTACATGTTGGGTGCAGTCTTTGGTAGACTCAAGAGTTACAGTTCCATCTCCAGGATGATGCTTGGCAATCAGCATGAAAATAAATCTTTGAAAAGATCTTTAATAGGTTGAATGCGTAAGTTGGATCATATTCACCCTGCTACTATATGCGATTATTTGCAATTATATGCAATTATTTGCGAGTATAAATAATAAAATGTGATTTTAAGAGATAATATACGTGATTATATATGTGATTAAATGTGATTATATGCTATTATATGCTATTATATGCGATTATATGCGATTATATGCTATTATATGCTATTTTGTGGAATTATTTTGCAATTATATGCGATTATTTGCAATTTTATGCCATTATATGCTATTATATGCTATTATATGCGATTATATGCGATTATTTGCGATTATTTGCGATTTTATGCGATTATTGCTATATAATGGTTGTTGCATAGCATTATAAAACGTTTGTACTGCAGTTATGAATTCTGTAACCTGCTCATTCTGTGACAAGTCTTTTGCCAATAAATATAGTCTGTCCTCACACATTAGTAGGTATCATCGAGAGAACCGAGAGAACTTTCATCTGACTCTCGCGAGAGTCAGATGAAAGTTCTGCAATTTTACTGCCGCTGTCAAAAGCTAACTCAGATGTGACTGATGTCAAAATGGAGGGTCCTGATTCTGTATGTTCAGATGCTGATACAATAGTTTCTGAAGAATCTCAGCAAGGTGGTTCTAACTCTGATGTACCAGGTAGTGGTGATGATGAATTTAGTGGTGTAACAAGTAGCGATGATGAGTCCAACAAAGAATATAATGCTAAAGAGTTAGAATCTGATACTGACTGGCAACACGTAGGCAAGCGGAAAGGAGTACCAATCAAACAACCAAACAGTAAAAAGATATCGAGTTTACTTAAATCTCTAGACGTCCTGTTACAAAGTAAATTGTGTAAAGAGCAAAATAAATGTTTTGACATTTTATTCTCATACATGATGAAAACCGAATTGTTTGTTGTCTTGAAGCAGCGTTTAATTGACAGCGGAGAAGACCTAACAGATATTTTAAGTTTGGAAGAACGATCTCTATTGGATGCAGTTATCACCACTACAAGTCTATCTGATGTAAACAAACTGATGAACGAAAACACAACTATTGTCGATAAGATTCTCAAACTTTATCTGAATAAGTAGTTGGTGGAACTAACTACCTGTACTAGAACACCATTAACGTGCAACTGTTATACAATGATTCATGTACCCAATCTTACTCTTGATGATTTCAATTTATGATTATAATGTTGACAACAACAAATTATCAATTAAACGGTAGTTTTATTTGTCTCTCGAAATTTATCAAATTTATAACAAGCAAATTTAATAGTTAATAATAGTGAATGGTATGGAGCCTTAGCTACTCCCTAGACTCGACTTTGAACCCTGAACCTTTTGTGCAGAAGACGGATGTTCTAACCACTAGGCTACCTAACAGTTGTTATATCTTAAAGGGTGAAAATGTGGTTCAGATACTGTAGCTATTGCTTAAATGTCAGAAAATTGATGATAAGACTTGTAATTTCCAGGAGGTCGAGCGATGGTAACCCTACACCACATTTCGTTATGTCACCCTCTGCTTATTTGGAGTGGTGACTGGACCGGGGTAAATCGTGAAGAATCATTTGACCAGTAATCAAATAACAGGAACCTGCTTGGCAACCGTTTAATCTGACTTTAGATCCTTTAGACAGGATTATTGAATTATTCATCATGACGTTCTGACGGGTAATCAAGTGACTCCTGTCACGTGATCTCGAGGTTCAATAACATTCATGTCACATGATGCTTAAGCTAAACACGTGCCCGGTAATCAAATAACAGGAACCTGCTTGGCAACCGTTTAATCAGACTTTAGATCCTTTAGTCGGGATTATTGATTGATTCGTCATGACGTTCTGGCTCCTCATTGGTCAATCAAATGTCACGTGACCTTGACATTTGATTGACGAGCTTGTCACGTGGTTACATGACATGTGATCCGTCACGTGACGTGCTGTCACGTGACCTGGGGGCGTGCTGTGAGTGGCTGGGAGTCACTTGATGGCGGGCCTTCATACATTCCCTTCTACTTAAAGTTATGTATGGGATAAGGTTCGACTAAAAATTAATCAGTCTGATATCGCGAAACCACCAATATGAGCTAGATTCTATTAAATCGGCCCGTAACTTCCGATAAATCAGTTTAATCGTCCAGACTTCAGATATGATGTACCATTAGTAGGTATTTTTAGTCAATAATCATTCAAAATCGTAACTCTCAAAAAATAGTCAAAAATTTAACAATAACAGCGTACAATAGCAATGACAACAAATTGAGCAACTATACAAACACCCATGTCTTTCATAATTTCATAGCTGGCAAGATATCTTTACCAGTTAAAACTTCTCGATACAAACTCATCTCATAATATATTCTGTTCCATTCCAGCTCTATCAAGTGCAGTAGCTCATCATCCGGCTACACACCTCATCAGATTATCAAATTATCAAAGTAAGTACTTCTAGATTCCCTTACTATACTTGATGCTACATTTCACAATTCAACAACTGATACAATATTTTCTGTGTTCGACTAGAATTGGTTGCGTTGGATATAAACGGCCTATCAAACAAATAGTCAATGGTTAGGCACTGTCAAGTTGAATTGCTGATTATTCCTGATGAAATGTCTTCCATTTTGGGATAAGACACCTGAAAATATATCGGTAAGTTCATTTATTACATTTGATTGAGACAAGAGTATTCATATTGGATCTATAACATTATCGAATACTTGGAACCCTGCGGTCTGCATTTAATTTCAACATGAAAATGGGCAGTTACATATGAAATATCACCTTTTGCTGAGTAAGCATGTCTTGGGACCAATGGAGTATCTTTAACAAGGTGTGAAGGTTGGTGGTGGTTTGCTGATTTTGTGATTCCAATACTGCAGAGTTCAATTCACCTGCTACCTGAGAATTTAGACATTTATATCACTCTAATTTAACTTATCTTTTTATTACACTCAAACGGTATTAAGTTATTTAGTTAAAACCATGGAAATAACATTACAGACAGTCGGGAGATGGGAATCAAAAAAATGTTTAAAATATCAATAAACTGTAAATAAGAGTCAAAGTAAGTATTATACTAACTTTGTGTTTTTGGGAAGGTTTCAAGAGGTCACCGAAAGGGCAGTTTTCAGGTTCTGAGAAAGCAAAGAGGGACATGGTCTTCTCCAGCTCAGCTAAAACTTCAGGATGGTCCTCTCCATGTGGCGCTAACTCGGTCTGGGCGAACAACAGTGCTTCTTCAATGTTTTCTGGAGAATATGACTGTCATGAGTTTACAAATTATGTGGTTTCTGTATTTATACAAGAACAATTTATAACTTGTTCTTAATATTGACGCAGTGACACTATCCGAAGCAGACTCTGAGAGACAGGAACTAACTGGATCTGATAAGTTCGATCAGCTTCTGTTGTTGAAGGTGGAAATACAAAGTGGGCTTCATGTCAAGGAGCTCTGGATCAAAATCATTGATCATCTGAGTAACTAGGTCGATGTTGCCCAGGTCCATAGCTTCCCGTATCTTGATACGATCAGACATGCTCTCCAGGTTTATAGGACTTTGTACTCCTGCTTCGTCCCTGAGTTGAAAATATTGAAACCCGGAAACAATAAGTATTCCACATGTAGTGTCAGTATCAAATATCATTTACATGGAATCATTAGCAACACACCCATTTTATGATCGGAAATTTTAAAACATTAAAACATTAAGATTGAACTAATTACAGCAATCAGCTCCCCTCTGGAATAAGATAACAGTTATTCTGGAAGAAGAGCATTATTATTGTGACTCACATGAAGACCTGAGCTGCGTCCTTGTAGCCTTCTGTCACAAGATAGTCCATAACGAGAGTGTTCATGTCACTGCGGGAGAGAGGGAGGGTCTCCAACCTAGACATCCACACTGCACAATTACTGCTCTCATCCATTATCCTATTTGAAATTATGTTTACTTGTAAGTTGTTATATGATATTGTGCCATTTGACTGTTTTCAGTGATTTGGTCCTCCCAATGGCTGCATTCTGGAATAAATCCAAATGAGGTGCAGCAGATGATAATGAGCTTTGGCCACTCTTAATCCGTTTAACAAACGGTTAAGATAATATGTAATAAGAATCACGGATCACCTACAAAGTTATAATTTAGAAGCTCAGTGAAACCAAAAGATAAATAATTTTATAACAAAGTCTAAAAAATAAAGTAGATAAGTCGTACACTAGGTCACTAGCGGGTGCCAAACAGCAAAGATTATTAAATGGTTTAAATAGTTAGTTTAAATACAAGTCTTGTCGCTTCCATAATACAGCAATCGCTAATCACTAATCACTAATCACTAATCACTAACGAATACAGACACGATCATTAAGATGTTGACGATATCGGTCATAATTGCACACAAAAATATAATCCATATGGTCTCAGCAAACTGTAAATTGAATTTCAGGTTGAATCTGTTCAATAAGAGTTAAAAATCTTTACAATAAAATCTATGTGTTCAGCATCCACCGTACCCGAATCAATTAAAACAATCTAAAATAATGAAACATTTTGTTCATTAATCTGATTCACAAAATGAAATGTCTACATGAGATATGACATGGTCCTAAAGTGCTATCACCTGTTAAAGTGATCATTTCGCTGTCGCTTCTGCCTGTCATCATAGCCGAAGGAGTCTTGTACAGTGTTGTTGCTTCTTTTCCCACTGTTGTTAAAACCGCCGCGGTTGTTGGCAAAGTTAAATCCCCCACCAGGATTATTGTTCTGGACATCGTTTCTTCTGTCAGAGCCGGTCACTACGTTGGATTGATTGAAGTGACCCCTCCCACTTCCATTGCCTCTTCCAAAATCGTTATTTCCACCACCTCGATTACCTCTAAAGCTATTGTTTCCACCGCCTCGGTTACCTCCAAAACCACCGTACTGGTTGTTGTTGTTGTTGTTCCAGTTGGTTTGTTGGCTCCCCAAGCCACCAGCTTGATTGTGAGAGTGTCCTTGATTCACAAAATCATTTGACTGATTGGACCCCTGACCAAAACCTTGGTTACCAAAACCTTGGTTACTACTCTGCCTGGTGTTAGTACCTTGAAACTGATTTCCATGGAAATTCTGCTGGGTCATATTGGGCCCACCCTGAGTTGGGTTGTTTTGAAAACCATTTGTAATGGCATAATTTATACTCTGGCTGTTTGAACGAATGTTCTGAGCAGCTTCGTTTATTTTAGCAGAACATGCCTGGCTAATTGGAGTGATGTTGGTGACTTTGGCAAGTGCAGAGGACAAATTCGTATTTCTCATGGATCCAACGTCAATATCAAATGTTTTTGCTAATCTTGATCCAGGATCACTCTGGTTTTTCTGTGGTGAGTAATTCTCTCTGCTATTACCCCTGTTTCCACTATTCCCTCTGTTGGAGTAATCAGTATTTGGGATTCCACCTGCTTGGGATTGAGGACGAGAATTGTTACTGCGGCCACGGTTATTAGAGAAATTATTATTTCTGCCCAAGTTATTGCTACCTCTGTCTGCACTATTGTCTCTGACTGCATTATTGTTCCTCTCATTACGACTGAACTGGTTGTTGCTGGAATTGCCTCTTGCCTGGTTTCTGTGATCACCTTTACTAGGTGGCCCATTCCAAGTGCTACCTTGTTGATGTGGCCGACTACTGCCAGGGTTACTCTGACTGCTCTGAGCTTGAGGAATATGATTTTGACGATCAGAAGAGGTGGCATTGGTCTGCTGTGTCTGAGGCTTTGCTCTAATAATAGTCGGCTTTGGACTTTGATAACTGCTCTTAACCTTGCTAACTTGATCGTAAGTCCTTCTTGCACCATTACTGGCCTGTTTTGCAATCGGTGCAATCGAACTAACTTTATTAATAAGTGTGTTGGATTGTTTCTGGGTGCTTTCATTTATGTCACCTTTAATATTTTCAGCTGGCCTCTTTTCAATTGACACATTGTCACCTGATTTGCGTCTTTTTCTCTCTTCTGCAGACATACTCGATTTAGGGGTTTGTTCTTCTGAAGATGGTTTACGTTTGTTTTTAGGGGCAGCATCTTTCTCTGGAATAGATTTAGCAACAGGAACAAACTCACCCAACTCTGCGTCAACTAGTGATTTTCTGAGTCCATCGATGTCGATATTCTTTATCAGCGTGGACGAGTTGGGAGTTTTGAAAACTGGCGTATCAGGCGAAATGTCCGCCATTGGTTTGCAGAGGTCGAAGATATTCCTTGCACCAGGACTTTTGCCAGTCTCCGTTGGAAGTTGCGAAGGGACTTCTTTTTGAACAAATGCCTGAGGGTCTATGTGACTTTTCAAGATACCTTGATCAGATGCTACAACAGGTACAGCAGGTTCTGACTTTGTTACTGATACAGTAGCTTTTGGCTTATTGTCTTTATTAGATTGTTTGACCATGGAAGATACTGTTGGACCTTCAGCTTTAGAAGAAATTCCGGAATTTTTCTTACCACCCTTCCATTCACTTATTGCCATCTTTATGTCAAAAGCCTCTGTGTTACTGAACATAATTATCATTGGCAGAGGGAGTTGTTCAACTTTAACACCTGAAAATATATTATGTCACTGACAAAACTTAACCATTTGTGATAGGATTCAGAATTCATGGAATCTAATTCTATTTCATATTGTTCGGGATATTGAATTGACAGGGGCAAGTGCATTATAAATTAAATGTCATTAATCATAATTAAATATAAGGATAGATTAATTAAGTCGTGTTCTTACATTTAAAATTCACAACAACAAAATACTTCTTAGTATTCAGTACAAAATTTTGACAGCACAAGGTCAAACTTCGTCTGACAAAATCTACCCCAAATTATGAGTTATATTTCTTTTAGTTTTTAATAAGATCAGTTTTTCATGCAGACAAGGACCAATCGTCCTCCGAGTGGATACCATTATTGTGCACTGCATTAAAACTTGTTTCACTTATTCATTTTCAGTTCTTTTGGAATTAGAACAATGGAACTTACCTAAAAGTCGAGCTCTGATTTCCCTTGAAGAGGGAAGCTCTGTTTCTACTTCCTCTTTTTCCAATGGCACACAAGCCTGATTAATAATCCTATTCAAGGCATCATAGCCATCTTTCTTTGAACGATGTTGAAGATAAAGGTCAACATCTTGACCATAGGCTGCTACCAGGGCCTTCTTCTTATGGAGTCTGCCATTGACATGATGTTTTTCGTTCCTTTTGTTCTTCACATCAAACTTGATGTTACATAACCCACAGTGGAAGTTTGTGTTTTTAACGTGAGTCACGGTTTTTACTCCGACTAGAATATTTTCGATCTGAGGCTGAATTGGACTGATGGTGGACTTATTCGAACCTGAAACAATCAAAAATTAACAAATCCCAGAAACACAAGCAGCCAGTAATAATTTTTAAATGGTGGTAAATATGGAATTTTCTGATCCCACTTAATGAGAATACTCATCTATAATATGATGAGCTGAAGAATACCAAATTGACCAATATTTCATCAACATTTCATTTAACGTTAGTATCTGAATATACATTTAAATATGCATACCTGTAACGGGAGCTTCCCTGGCAGGCTTCTGGAATATGTTTGCATTACTCTCTATGTCCCACTTTTTGGCCAGTTCCATAAGGTTGAGAGATTTATCACAAGAAGGAGTTTCCCAGACGTTTAAAAGAGGCTCAGGTAACATCTCAACTTTCTTAATACCCAATATTCCTGAAAAATTACCTTGCATTATTTATGTATTATAACAAATTACTATCTTAAACTATAATCTCAATAAATTTGTGTGTGTGTGTATGTGCGGGAAATTTCCGAGCGGCTTAATTAAAATAACGTCATAACATGATCTGAATAAATGTTGTGAAGTCACTAGCTTTTCAGTATATTCGGGCATATTATAAAATAATGTGAGAAAGATTGTATTTTAAACAGGAATTATACGATAACCATTTTTGTACAATAAGTAAATTACCTGCACGTGTGAGTTGATCATCTGAACTTTCAGTTTTCCTTTCTTCTACTTCTATCTTCATGGCTTCACTCCTGATCAATTTGTTGTACAATGCTGCATCCCTGGTTCTTAATTTCTCTAAGTAATTGGGAATAGGGTGGGAAGAAAATTTGTTAATCATTCTTCTTCTATGAAGACTGCTTGTAATGTGAAGCTTGCAGGATTCAAGAGAAGTCTTACACATAATATCACATAATCCACAGTAGTAGGAGCGGCCCTTAAGTTTCAGATGAGTAGCCCCAACAATCATTGTGGCTTCTCTACTTGGAGCACGGTTATTTTCCTCTGATTTAACATCTTCCAGCGACTTTGAATCATTTTCAGTGATTTCATCATTCATTGGGATAAATGAGCGATCCTCTTCTTCAAAAAGGGACACCATTTCTCCAATGTCCTGAGAATTACTCGGAGTTGATGTGTCATCAATTTGATCAACAGGGCCAGGTTCTTCTTTTATGATTTCGGGCTGAATTATGCTTTTATCCTCTTCTTCATTTGATGCATTAACATGAGGGCTACTATCAAGGTCCTCTTCACCATCTTTAACTACAGCATCTGTTTGCTTGACACCTTCAAGCTCCATCATTGTTTTTATGTATTCTGGAGTGTCTTTCTCTTTCTCATAAATTTCTTCTACCTTTGATGATATTATAGAAGACACTATTTTCTTTTTTCCTTTCTGTGTCGCAGACACTTTGATTTCATATGCCAGGTCAGGATCACAAAGTTTTATACATTGAATTGCATGCATTGCCTTGCTGCAATGTGTCTCAACTGACTTGAACTTTTCAAGGCAAATATTACAAAACCATTCATTATCTTTCCTTTTAATGTAATTCAAGCCAATCATTTTGATGGCAATGTCTTTCTTCCGCAATGGGGTAGTTTTAGAAGGTTGTTTGTTAACAGGCAGGGGTTGAACATCTGATGTCGTAGGTGGAAGTCTAACTTCAACAACTTTCAGTGAGGGTGAGGGTGTTTCAAGCGTACTTCTACGCATTGAGTCAAAAAACTGACAATGATCAGAATTAGAACAATGATCTTCAAAAGTTGGTTCAGCTTTTACTAGACATATGCTACAGTAATTATCACCTTCCTGAAGTAATGAAAGTTTTTCATTACAAAGTGTCACATGATCTGGGGAGTGAATGTGGTCAATAAATTCTTTTGCCTCGTCATAGCAGTCAGAACAAATGGCACAATAGAATTCATCATCATTTTGAGGTTCATTCTGAGTGTCATCTTCAAAATCGAGCTCTTCTGTAAAACTATCAGAAGCCATAAGCTAAAATGCTGAAACAATTTTATTAGATACAAAAAACTTATCATGATCACAACAATCAACAAAAGATTGACTAACCACTGCACCTTAAATTTGAATTTAGATGGATGTATGTGTATATAATAATCATCTTATCTATTTGACTGAACCTAGAGCATATACACAGTATGGAGAAAGATCGTTTCAGAAAGTTGGCCCTCAATTATGAAATGAGCTGCCTCTTGAAATTAAGAATTGCATGTCATTGGACTCTTTTAAAGTGTATCTGAAATTTCTTTTTAAACATGCTTATGATATTAATTAATCTAAAATTTTTTCAATGTTTCTACTGTTAAGGGGGCATAAAAATTCTCTCAAAATTGACTTTATAGTTGTTTCTGATAGAGGGGAGTGATATCTACCAGCTGCTTTTGGTCCCATGGAAAAATATTGTTCCTAGCTAAAATTATCGCCGGTCTAAGGTCAGCGCTTTAAATGTGTAATTGTATTGCGCGAGTGATTTTTAATCGTGCGTCCTGAAAATCGAGTCTAAAAATCTTGGACCCCAAAAAATCGTCAAAAACAAGGTCCTAGATTTTCAAAATCGTATAAAAAATGTTTAGGCTTGAAAATCTAGTCTAAAAAGGCCTATGAATGTTGCTCAAAAATGTAGGAGAAGATAGATTTTTGACTCGATTTTCAGGTCGCGCGATTGAAAATTGCTTGCACAATACTATTACACATAAACACTGACATTAGACCGGAAATTATTTCGGCGAGAAACAATATTTTTCCATAGGACCAAAAGCAGCTGGTAGATATCACTCCCCTTTATTAGAAACCACTATAAAGTCAATTTCGAGAGAATTTTGATGAAGACCCCCGGCTCCCTTAAGTCATACCCTTTACCTTGTAACTTAGTGTATCAAGGCTTTATTAATAATTTTGTCATTCCTAATCCATTTCACATAATTTTTTCAGATCAGATGCAACATCTAATAATCTACCATCTTGGAAAACCTTAGGCGTCCAGCATGTTCAGAGAGAACAATATAGGTGTTTTAATATTGAATGGGCGTGGTCTATAATATTCGAATTTTCAAATTTTGGCGACGGAATCCTCGAACAAGTAGGTACAGTATGCCATCTGCAAAGAAACAACTCTCAAATATAAAACACGGCGGAGGTATAAGACCCAACGTATGGGTACTGACTTTTGGCCAACCCTGTACTATACTAAAAATATAATTTTCCTTACTATCAATCTTGCACTATATCTCATACAACCTCATCCCTGCCCCTATAATGGAGTAGATCATGTGTTTTGTTAAAATGTTTAAAAAAATATTATTGGTAGCAATGAATTGTGCTCTGCCAATTGCAACACTAAAAATTTGATTGTGATCTGCCAATTGCATCACTTGATTTAATTGAATGTATATATACTGTTTGACACATTTTTCTTTTTCGCAAAAAAATATATATATATTCAGACATAACATAATGAGGGATGCAATTGTTGACATCCTGAAGGTCCTAAGGAGACTTTTTATCCTTTTTACAGACGCTGGTTCTAGGTGGCCTTAAAAAGGATAGCATGAGAGCGCGGCTGAGAGAAGTTACCTAAGAACAAGGAGAGTCCTGCTATCAGTGAGAGGTTTCTGGAGGACATGGAAGGGGACAAGAAAGCCACTCTAATTTGTAGCCTTTAATAATTCCAAGGATAGACGACAAACCAGTGGCGTAACGAAGGGCCCCGCTGACCCCGCTGTGCGGGTGCGCGCCGTCTTAGGGAGGCGCCAAATCGTCGTTTGAATGTGGGACAATTTCGAAAACTTAACTAAAGTACTAGCAAAATTAACGGGTGATACTCATAAAATATTTGTTCCATATATTAGGACCGTCGACCAATTCAACTTTACTGGGCGGCGCTCAGTCTGTCATTCCGCCGAATCTTTATTCGGCGGTTTATTCGGTTTATTCGGTATGTTTATGAACATAATAGCCTGGGGTCCCCAGGTAAGTCCAAAGATTAATATAAGTTCGCTCCTACTAAATCGCTCGCCCAAATTTTAAGAAAATTCTTGTGAAAAGGCCCTTTGGGTATGAAATTGATCTAAATCGGTGTATTTTTGGACGCTGATTCCGAATCACCCCCATGACGTAGGGTAAAAATGCTTCCCTGGAGAGTTATAGGCAAAAAACCGTTTTGGTCACGTGACAGGCTAGTAAAACATGAATTCGATTGTTTAGGGCTCGGGTTAGAGTTATAAAGGTTGTGGTAAGGACGTTATGAATAGCTTCGGGGTTATGGTAAGGGTTAGGGTTGGGATTAGGGTTTATGTAAAACCGTTTTGTACGGCTGCAAAACCATAAAAACCAAAGTCACGTGAAATTTTTGGGCGAGCGAATTAGTTAAAGCCAATTAAGTTATTGTAGCACCCGAACTTGTAGCGCGATGCTTTCGTTAGATCAGCAAAATGTTGGATGCGCTACTGGGCCTCGCCGAGCAGCGAAGAATTGACATCATCAATTAACACCCGAACGTTTTCGATTTGAAAATGGAAGAGCTCCAGCTAGTTTACCTGGAACGTCAATCCCTGTGCGCAGCGCTATTTTCAAGTTACTTGCACATTCGAAAAGCTTACCTGAGGACCTCAGGCTATCATGTTTATAAACATAAAGATTAGGCGGAATGACAGGCTGAGCGCGGCCCAGTAAACGAAAAGCAAGCAATGTAAAAAATAAACTTGTCTTTAAACAAGGCCCTTGCACTTGCAGTGGCGTGCGCCCGCCGTTTACCTGTTACCTCATAACTGGAAAACCCCAGGCGGTTCTTACTAATTCGCTCGCCCAAAAATTATTACGTGACTTTGATGACCATTGTTAATGATCAGGCCCGGCGCGCGCTACTTCGTAGCACTTGCCATCGGGCCAAGAAGAAAGCAACGCGCGCTACTTCGAAGAAATTTAGACGAGTAACAGGATGATAATTAATCACTCTACACTCGACTGTCACGTGACGAAAACGCCGTGATTTCACTGGTTAACCTCATAACGCGCCGCAGATCTCTATAAACACAAATTATTCATCGCGCGTGCAGTAAACTCAAATTAAGTCCTAATTTGTTACCGAAATTTGGCAACTATCAACATCATGACACAATTAAGTCGCATGCCCAGTAAATTGCTAATCAAATGTACGGCACTAATAATACAGTCTACACTTACAGTGTATGAATTCATGAACAAATTTATTAAGGCAGATTGGTAGAACAACGATCGTAAATGATAATTTGCATTAACAGTGGAAAGTGTTCTTAAGGGAGACTGTTGTGCAGCCATGTCGGGAGTTATAAAACACCGAACACGACATGGACATTAAAAACACTTTCCAACTACAAAAATTAACCACTAAACCAGCTTTGAGCACCATTTCTAGGTTATGAGACGGCTAAATGATGCGAATAATAAATCCTCAGAGCTCCCAGTACTCTACATTAAAAACACTTTCCAACTACAAAACTTAACCACAAAACCAGCTCTGAGCACTATTTCTAGGTTATGAGACGGCTAAATGATGCCAATTATAAATCCTCAGAGCTCCCAGTACTCTACATTAAAAACACTTTCCAACTACAAAACTCAACCACAAAACCAGCTCTGAGCACTATTTCTAGGTTATGAGACGGCTAAATGATGCCAATTATAAATCCTCAGAGCTCCCAGTACTCTACATTAAAAACACTTTCCAACTACAAAACTTAACCACAAAACCAGCTCTGAGCACTATTTCTAGGTTATGAGACGGCTAAATGATGCGAATAATAAATCCTCAGATCTCCCAGTACTCTACATTTAAAACACTTTCCAACTACAAAACTTAACCACAAAACCAGCTCTGAGCACTATTTCTAGGTTATGAGACGGCTAAATGATGCGAATAATAAATCCTCAGAGCTCCCAGTACTCTACATTAAAAACACTTTCCAACTACAAAACTTAACCACAAAACCAGCTCTGAGCACTATTTCTAGGTTATGAGACGGCTAAATGATGCGAATAATAAATCCTCAGATCTCCCAGTACTCTACATTAAAAACACTTTCCAACTACAAAACTTAACCACAAAACCAGCTCTGAGCACTATGTCTAGGTTATGAGACGGCTAAATGATGCCAATTATAAATCCTCAGAGCTCCCAGTACTCTACATTAAAAACACTTTCCAACTACAAAACTCAACCACAAAACCAGCTCTGAGCACTATTTCTAGGTTATGAGACGGCTAAATGATGCGAATAATAAATCCTCAGATCTCCCAGTACTCTACATTTAAAACACTTTCCAACTACAAAACTTAACCACAAAACCAGCTCTGAGCACTATTTCTAGGTTATGAGACGGCTAAATGATGCGAATAATAAATCCTCAGAGCTCCCAGTACTCTACATTTAAAACACTTTCCAACTACAAAACTTAACCACAAAACCAGCTCTGAGCACTATTTCTAGGTTATGAGACGGCTAAATGATGCGAATAATAAATCCTCAGATCTCCCAGTACTCTACATTTAAAACACTTTCCAACTACAAAACTCAACCACAAAACCAGCTCTGAGCACTATTTCTAGGTTATGAGACGGCTAAATGATGCGAATAATAAATCCTCAGAGCTCCCAGTACTCTACATTAAAAACACTTTCCAACTACAAAACTTAACCACAAAACCAGCTCTGAGCACTATTTCTAGGTTATGAGACGGCTAAATGATGCGAATAATAAATCCTCAGATCTCCCAGTACTCTACATTAAAAACACTTTCCAACTACAAAACTTAACCACAAAACCAGTTCTGAGCACTATTTCTAGGTTATGAGACGGCTAAATGATGCCAATTATAAATCCTCAGAGCTCCCAGTACTCTACATTAAAAACACTTTCCAACTACAAAACTCAACCACAAAACCAGCTCTGAGCACTATTTCTAGGTTATGAGACGGCTAAATGATGCGAATAATAAATCCTCAGAGCTCCCAGTACTCTACATTAAAA